TTATTGGACATCCAATAAACAAAGATCAATCCCTCAGGTGGAAATCTCCGTGTAATAAGCATTATACACTGTTTTTACCGTTATGAATGATTTCAAATAATGAACTATTGATAACAATTTCATCTTTCACAGATGGTTAGTTTCCATGTTGGGTTTTAATAAACAACCGAGTTCAGTTGATAAACGCAGTGGAACAAATAAGAATCGTTTTAACAAAAGAAAAACGGTAGTGCATTAATTTGTGTTTTAACTCTTCGCTCGTTTTCCAATCATTCTATTTAAATGGAAAACTAGCCATTTAATAGTATCATCGCTACAGGGTCTTTATGTGGAGCATCTCAGATTCATCTAAGATTAGTCCTGTTAATGCTTTATTTACTAGAAATTATATAGCTTAAGTTGTTTCCGCAATCGATGTTCAGCTTATGATGTAAACCAGGGATTCCCAAACCGTGGTTGGTGAACAAGTAAGAAAAAGTCGTGAGAAAATATCCTTTTTACACGTTCAATAAGGGATTGAACAAGCTTTTAAAAATTATTATTGAATCTATGAAAGAAAATACACAATACACTTAATCCGTAACCAATCATTATAATAACGTTAATTTTTTCTTCATTTAAACAATTTAGCTTATTGAATATGCTGATTAGTGAATCATGTATTGACAATTACCATAGCTCAAAAGACATGGTTACTCTGTTAGCTTAGAACTACTTCACTATATCACCGACTGACTAAGATACCTTATCAGGACTTGAGGAGCAATAACTCGGCAAAAGGTTCCTTTCTCACAGCTTTCATGTCAATATTATTTATTGACAACTTTCTTTACAACCCACTCCGACTTTCCTCATCCCTTTTACTATCCCTGGGTATATTTATCCCTATGGTCCTCAAGATATGTCACTCTAAAAATTACATTTTTGCAGTCCCACACTTGTCAGGAGTCCTAGACACATGATCTTGTTGTGCTATTGTAGGAGGCCTGTAGTTAACTCTTGTAGGCTACGTATATAGTTATAGTATAATTCAGTATATAAGTTACCATATATAACATACATAATAAATAAAAGTGCTACTTCTAAAGTCCCCTCTGTTGGCGATTCGTCGACTCATGAATAAACGCGAACTAGAATCGAGGCTGTAGGTGCAAAAACGAACCATTTTTGCTATCAACAAATTAGTTTCTATTATATTCAATTATAAATCTACAACCGCAGCCGAATCTGCTTCTTCTAACTCCAATTTTTTGCTGTGGATAGCCAGTCATTTTTCCTTACTTTTCTTGCATTAATTGACGCAATCCGTCATTAGTCTTGGTATTCCTACCAAGCTCGTCGATCATTCATTATTCATTTTGCGACGCCATTCTTTTCTATCATTAGCTGGGACAAAGATTCGTCGGAGAATGTTTACCTCAAAAACTTGAAATGATGAAGTTCCGTCATTGGTATAGTTCAGATTTTTGATCCGCTGGTCAGTACATGGCGGATTTGAGCCTTTAATAAAGTTATTTTTGTCGGTATAGAAATTACGTTACTGGAAATGAAATTTCTCATTCCATAGTAACATTTATTATTTTAATCTATCCCCATATCCTATTATCATATGTTACCTGTGATCAATTGTAAATGATTCCGGATATTTGTCCAGAAATGTAAGTTCCGGATTTTTTTTTATTAATTGTTTTACATGCCCATATTCTAACACCATTTCTTGGCTGTTCTCCATATCCAAATGCTAATATGCTTTTTATATTTTTTTTGGAGATGATTGGATTAGGTTTAGGCCATTCAAAATGGAAATCAGCCCTTTTTCTTTCAAAAGCATCAGCTTTTTCATTAATTTTATTTCTTTATCCTATATATTATTTCTAAAAGGTGTTTTTTTGTCGGTACGCCTTAGCTTCGTCAATTCTTCATCAAATCCAATTATTGACCACTCATTTTGAAGATATTCTTCTCCTTCACATGCGAAAAATAGTCCTATCCTCCTGAAATGTCTGGGGAAAAAGTTATGAAGGAAAAGAAAACTTTATTTGGTTTGTTCTTATATATATATTTTTTTTAATAATATAGGAAATCCTATGATCGGAGCATTATTTTGTCTTTATTACTTTTATTATCATTCCAGTCAGCGTTTAAAAATAGGTCCTAGCAAAGCAATTTGTACTAATATTTTGGTCTATTATGTTAAATGGAATATTGTAATCGACCAAGAAAAAAATATTAATTCCTTCCTTACATAATTCATAGCATCTACTTATTTCCATATTGTTTTGCTATTTCTTCACTGAACAAAATTGTCTGCGAATTAATCGCACGGCCAACTAGTTTGATGAATATTCCCTTTGTGAAATTCCAACATTATCATGTCTTCCTCTAAAGTACCTTTAATTTGGTTTATTATAAATAATAACTTTTTCTCATTGTTAGGAGCTATGAAAAAATGCTAAATATAACTTTTGAATGAGTTTAATAATTGAATATGGGAGAAAAATACATTTCCAGCACGAAAATGAATATCCGGAAATAATAGTCAGAAGGTATACGTATAATATATCGGTGGAGAGTGGAAAATTAAAAAAAAAAAAAAAAAAAAAAAAACAATATCGAATATAGAAGGTAACGAAGAGTGTCGAAAAAAGATATAAATAATAATTTCTAAAAACTACCATTGTTTAACGTAAATCACGTGTTTGAAGGAAAATAAATGAATTTTTTTTATTTAATGTAAACTTTTAACATTTTTTTTTAGTTTGAAAAAGTATTTAAAATCCACGGATTTAAGGCAATGACACTGTTTAAGACACTATTTCATTGTACTTGTGTGAAAGGAGAAGTGAAATATAAAAATTTCATGGATATATTTATAACCTTAAATATATTTTCTGTAGTTTAATAACTATAGATCTGATATTATATTTAAATAATTTAGAAGATGGCCTCGAAATCTCCTTTTGTAAATACATTTTTAGAGTGCTACCAGTGGGTAGTTTCTCAACAAGCGGTTTCATGATCTTGTGTTTTTACATTTACACAACCCCCATACCAGACTGAAACGACTAGAAACCGCCCGACGTTTTCGACTACTGCAGCACTTACTAGGCAAACGCTCTAAACTTCCAACTATTTACAAGAGATTCATATATATTACTATAATAAGGCCTATTTGGACTTACGGAATAGAGCTTTGGGGCTCTACTAAACCATGAAATTCATCTCGTATCCAATCCCTACAATCCAAAATCCTTCGTAAAATCCTTAATGCTCCCTGCTTTTTCACAAATAAAATCATCCATAATGACCTTAATGTACCATATGTTTCCGATTTAGCTCAATCCAGATACCTTTCCTTCCATAATAAACTTCTGAACCATCCGAATCCTCTTGTTTCCAATCTTGCTTCCTCTTCTATTTATGATAACCCTCCGATGCGTCTGAAAAGAAGATGGCCTCGGGACCTTCTAATATAGAACTATAATTGAAGTGCTACCAATGGATAGTTTCTGTTGTACATGTCATGTCACTTGTTCATATTTGCTTGTTGTGTTTATCATTTAATACAGTTGTAAATGTCAATAATAATAATATTTAAAAAAAAATTACACACATTTACTGAATGTATTTTTATTTGTAAAACAGTTGTAAATATCATAAATAAAAAAAAAATAGGTATCTACCGTTCGGTTATTCCGAAAAATCATCGTGTACATAATTTAATTAGAAAATTAAATTAGTGAATAATTTGATGAATTTTCCCTTTGTGATATTCCAACAATATCCACTTCCAATCAGTGTGACAAGTGTTGACCCGTCCATGACAGACAATGCAAATTTCTTAATTCCATTTTAATAAACTTTGCAATGGAAAATAACAGTTAATAAACTAATACTCGTACAATCCATAATCAACGGATCTTAAAACCCATAATCAACCAAACGGGACTTTTGTTGTTTTAATGCTATTTATGATTTGTTAGTTGTGAGCATTTAGCTTTAGCTCGATTAAAAATGTTATTCACAAATATTATAACAGCCCAACATGGCCAGAAGATAATTGGCGTACTTAAATTAAAAAAGAGCTAAAGTTGTTTATTGGGTTTAACGTTCTCACGTATTAGATCTGAAGTAGGATTGATCAATTATCGAATTCTTTTAAAGGTTATATTGAGCCATTTTTTATTAATACTGACAAAGAGAAACAACCAATAATTCAAAATAAATTAAAGATACTTTAGTGGAATAAATTTGAAAATTCCATATTTAAGTGCAGTTAGTTATATATTAATGAAGGTGTACTTTACTGATATTAAAGACCATTTGATTGTAGATTGATATAAAAAGTTAATTAAAATCTTTAGAACCGTTTTCGAAAAAATTTGTAATATTGATGATAAAAATAAACAATCTAGGTTAGCCAATTTTAGGTGAAAATATGCTGTAACTATCCAGGCATATAAGAGTACCTACCTTAAATACGTAATTTCAGTTTCGTATGTCTTTTCGTTTTTGACCACATGGGCTGAGGGGATCTTAAAACGTGTATTTCCATTGAATATTCGGATTTTTTTATAATCGAAATACTTTTCTCAAATAGTCGGCAGAATGAATATATTAAACACATGTTTAAAAAAAAAATGTATATGAGGTGATGTCTACTGTATCAAAAAAAAAAAAAATAATAATAATAAAAAAAAAAATATATATATATATATATATATATATTGAAATTTAATTAAAACATTTAAATTAAAATACGATGTGTATTTATTACTTATTTCTCTGTTATTTATAACATGCAGATTTACATAGTTATTCACTTATTCTCAGTAAATCTAGTGTATCCTACATTGTAGTTCATATCCATTGTATATATTTCGTTTCCGATTTCCTTCTGAGAAATATGAAAAGGATTTTGGTATTATTCTTGAAATATCACCAATACATGATGAATTCAGTTTCAGCCATTTAATGGAATGATGATTTTTTTTTTTCAGATGACTCTTCCAAAGGCTTTAAAGAGAAGAAAGAAACCGAAAGAATATAAGCTACGAGGTTTTGTAGCCATGCTATTTTTATCTATCGTCTTTCTAGTCGGTTTTGCTCATGTGTATTATCACCAACAGGTGTTACAGGTATGTTATGGAATATAAAATAATAATACTCGTTGTAAAACAATTTTCATAGGTATTTTATTAAATTATATAATATATTTTTTATTAAATTACATGGCTTGGATTATACAAAGGCCGGCATGCAAATAAATCTGTTCTGTGTTGCCTAAAACAGAAATGGCGAGTGGAATTTATTAATGTTTTGAGGATTTTTTTTCAAGTCCTACGTGAATAAAAGCTTCTCTACATTGAATTATTGTGGACTTACAAGCATACATGGGTCATTTCAAAATTTTGGTAACCGGACAATAATAAGACGAACCAGACAAACCACAACTGAAAGCAGTGAAATAATTTTTTGTCATGATCTATCCTTTTATACAGTGCCGGCCTTAGGATGGGGCAATCGGGATAATTACACCGCCTAATCATTTTCTATTTTTTTCAATTGAACTATTCAATAAAAACAGTGAAAAATATATATTTTGATAACTCAAAATATTCTCGAAAACTCCACAAATAACACAAGGTATCAATAATACAATTTATCTAGTTTTTGGAGGTAAAAAAAAAAAATATATATATATATATATATATATATATATATATATATATATATATATATATATATATATTCAAATAGATGCCGGGAGTATTCTCTTACTCGTCCCACTGTGCGCCGGCCGATCTTCATGGACGCTTATCACTTGTTAAAAATAAAAAAAGATGACTTAATTGCCCGAGTCACCGAATGTCTAAGGCCATTCACTGCTTTTAAAGGTATACTTCCCACTTGTCGTATGATTAAATTTGTAATTATATGACGCAGTAAAACATGGTGAAAAAAAAGTGAAATGATGATTCTGTCTAATGCTGTTACAACCCAGAAGTAACATAGTGAGCTGTACATTGAATAGAAACTATTTTCTAGCAATTTTAGGCTATCATAAAATTTTTGAAGTGCGTTTTTAACGAAGCTAAAGCTTAAACTTTACAGCTAAAAACTCATTAATACCATTAAAATAACACAAACACTATTTAGTACATCGGCGAAAGGCAATAAAAACTTTCTTACTCCATCTGTTTTTGTAAATCACGTAACTCCAGTTTCTGAGTTATATATGCCTTGAGAGTTTTGAAAGTACATCTATATACGTAACTGATGATTATGTATTTTAATACTATTATTCATTAAACTCTTATTTTTTTTCTATTGTAAAGTTTACTAAAATGGAATTAACGAGATTTTCATTGCCTACTTCATTAGTCCGATTTTTTTAAAATATATAACGGAGGACGGAAAGGCCGAGCACATTGGGGCGTTGGTGCCCGGTTCTGGACATTATGGGTCCGATTCTCACCTGGTGCGGTTAATTTTCATTTCTCGGCGGCCCCGGAAGGGGATCTTGACGTTCCCACTCTAGTAAGTACGCTGCGGCAACCACTAGGTAGCCGTAAAGAGTTGGCAAAAAGGACCACGGTAGTGTCCGCTTTCCGGACTAGTTCTTCCCATCAAGTAACAATATATATATATATATATATATATATAACGATAATTACTTTGGAAGAAAAATAAATAAATTATCTACCTATATTAATGAATAATACGTATATGAAAAATACCGAGGGAACTCCGTTTTGTTGAACGCAACATTCAGCACCCAATCCATGTTTCTCTGTCCTTTCGTATAGCATCAGGATGGTGCTTGAAAGTTACTGCGGCTTCCATGATCCGATTTCATAGCTCTTCTTTCGTGCAACTACCGCAGAATAAACCATAGACTTTATCCAGCCCCACACAAAATAATCTAATGGCCATAAATCCGGAGATCGTGGTGGCCGTTTAACAGGTCCGTTTCGACCAAACCATCGGTCTCCATAAGTTGCATTTAAATAATTAGTGTCACTATTAGAAAAGTGAGCTGGAGCACCGTCATGCATAAACCACAGCCTTTGCCTAATGCCTAGTGGAATATCTTCTAGGAGTTCATAAAGATTTTTTTTGCAAAAAATGCAAGTAAGATATACCTGACAGCCTAGCTGGCAAAAAGAAGGGGACGATGATGGCGCTTAGAAGAGCAAACCAGACATTTAAAGAAAAGTCATGTTGGTAATGTCCAACAGCAATTGTATGAGGATTATCTTCAAGTATGGGTATTTCGAAAATTAAGAATCCCGTTAAAAGTATGAAAGTAACCAAAATGCAGTTCAGGGAGTTAGGATCTCGTGTGCACTATCGAATTAACCACTAGGAGAAATTTCTGTGCTTGATATAATCTTGTGGTAACAAATCTTGCCTACTCGATACATGAAATGGATACAATTGTTGTTCGCAGAAAATTCGCCATACGCTGGTAGAGGAAACAAACAAACGACGTGACACTTTTCTGATACTAGTAGTAGGAAATAACTGAACGGCATCGAGTATTTCTTCATCAACGTTTGCAGTTCGTCGAAATCTTGGTCGACCGGCGTTTACTCGTATAAGTTTTAGCGTTCCATTATCCCTAAGGCCTCTTTCAATGGCCTCAAACGTTTTATGATTTGGTATTCTTCTGTTAGGAAATTTTTCATGGTATCTTCGAACAGCAGCAGCACCGTTTCTATGTACCGCACCATGATTTAAAAGCATGTCTGTTTGTTCTGCAAAAGTGAATAAATATATGGTGGTTTCCATGATAATCATAAATTGAACTGTCACAGTATTCACACTAAAGCACGCAGAACTAGACACTACTCTCATTGCTTATCGTCCATTTGTTTATCAGGTGATTAAAACCTGTTATTTAGTATTAAATAACTACGTTTAACTTTGTACAGAAAGTCTGAATGTAATAAATAAATAATAAATCTTTAACCATTGATATTTATTTAATAAATGAGTTTGAGATATATGTCAATATGAACTTTTTTGTTTATTCTGTGTTAGTGAACACATACCTAAAATAGTGCCGTGCAATTACGAAACGCCCTGTATAACGATAATTACTTTGGGAAAAAAGAAACATACTAACTACCTGTATGAAATGGTGCTTAAATGATTCTTGAACTCCTATTAAATGTAATTACACATACAATAATACTTTAAGGCATAAGTTTTTACCATAAAACATGGTTACATTTTACCATTTTGGAGAGGGCTTCAACCCGAAAGCCCCCCTCTCTCCTCTCATAGATCCGCCTATGGTGTGTCCTGTCTTGAGCTATGAATATTTGAAATAATATGACGTCGATTGTACGCTTTTTTGTTAATGAACCATATATCGATTCTAAGATTATCCACATTTTAAATTGTCAAATTACTCTCAAAATAATGTAAACATATTTCTAATTTTTATTCGGTTTGCTTTACAAACCTTGAAGGGGTCCTTGGCCGCGCTATGTGATCCTACAGACATATATAGCAGAGCGGAAGAACACTTAAGCCTGAGGGGATCACCCAATCACGAAACATGGCTGCCCATAGCTGGATAAACTCTGCCCTTATATGCAACTTGTCTGTAAATGAAAAAGTTGTTTAAAGTTCACTTAATTCTAAAATAATTCCAAAAGGGGTTCTATTCTCCAACTCATAACAAGGAAGTATGGGAAATGCACTAAATGACAGGAATCTGCCTTTTTCTGACCAGTCCATGTAATTTCCCACCAAACCTGATCCGAAAACTTCCACTAAATTAAAATTAAATTTTAGATTCAAAACAGATTGATAATCACAAATGCAGAAAGCTTATTACCAGTAATTTTTAAAACTTTCAACTTTTATAGGTAACATCAAATCCATTAACTTTATAACTATAACCACTAGCGGATCCAGGATTTAATTTTGGGGGGAGCTTCAGCCCAAAAGATTTTTTTTTCATAAAAATAACGATAATTACTTTGGAAAAAAGAAAGAAGCTAACTACCTGTATGAAATGGTGTTAAAGTGATTCCTAAAGCCCTTTAAAATGTAATTACACGAACAATAATACTTTAAGAGATAGTTTTTTAATATTTTTTTCGATAAAACATGGTTATATTTTGGCGTTTTGGGGGGGCTTCAGCCCGAAATCCCCCCCCCCGTAGATCCGCCCGTGACTATAACTGCTTCATCATTTCCAATATAAATTCCTACCTTTAAGTTAAATGAATTCTTTCAACTCTCCCTTTAAAATTTCAGTCATTATGTTATCTTCCTGATATTTACAAATAATGTTTTTTATCTGCATGAAAAATTAATATACTTCATTATTCCTACCAACTATAAGCTAACTTCCTTTTCAATATTAAAAACCGTTCCACCAGTAGAAATTGGGATCCCTCGGCCATTTGGGGCTCATGGCAGGATTTTGGAACATTGTTTGGGTCCACTTAAAGAAAAACAAATTGTATAAAAAAAAAAAAATAAAACTAGACCCCGAAGCTCCTAGTGGAACCCAGAACCGATGCCCCATCCTAGGTATACGGCCCACCTAATTGTAGACTACACACATGGAAATGCAACAATTTATTTTATTTTTTTTTTTATGGTACCCTTAATCATCATCTCCTGAATAAATTAACAGCAATTATATTTATAAAGAATTTTAAATTGTATATTTTGAAATACACTTCAGATTGTTCTAATGTTTCAGAAAATTTTCCGAATTATTTAAAAATTCTATGGAACATCACTTGACAAAAAATAGTTTTCCTTTATAATGGAGTGATTTTCTAATTTATATTTTTTTCATTCGAGCTTCTTTGGTTCTTGATAAAGTTGGGATTTTTCAGTGCATGGATTAGCATTTCATTTCAGGAACATAAGTAAAAAACTACCATTTGTCAATCTGTATGTAAATGAACTAGATTTGAGTCTATTGAAGCTGTGAGAGAGAAAGCTGAAATGTTGACTAGTTAGCTATTTTTGGAATTTTACAATAATTGTATTCTAATAAAATTTATGATAAAGCTATTATAAACTGATTTTTTTTCAGAGGGCTTATTTTGACAAAATTAGATTCAATAAGGAAGAGAGAATACTGCGATTATACAACAGTGAAGGTAATATTTTTTATTTTTATTTTAGTAATAGAAATCCAGTGGGTCTTCTATAGAATATGTACACCATTTACAAATATCATGATAAAAAAAATTAATTGCACAGGTTATTAAAACAGATATTTTGTTAGAAAATTATAAAATAAGAAACATTTATAAAAAATAATATTAAAGAGGTATTGCTGAGCATACTTCTTCATGTAGAATACCTTTTGAAATTAAAAACTTTCAGGTATTTTCAGTATCTTTTGATTTTTCATACAGCTTGAATGATTTAAAAAATAAAAGCTTGAATGACTTAATTTTTCTGACTTCGGGTTATATTTTGTCATCATACTATAAATCTCATATTCATAATTACTTACGATCACTGAAGTTACTGAAAAGTAAATAGTATACCTTTTCCATAAAATACCCAATCTAATATTCAATCAATATTATTAAGACTAATACTTGTTTGCAAAATGTATATTTCCTTATTTTTTAACAAATTGATTTAGACCATCATCTCAAGTTCACTAAATTTTTGTTTTGTTTTTTCCTGCGACTTTGGGACTATTAGATAAGTAAAATAAATTAAAGAATATTCTTAAATTATGATATTACTTATAAATAAAAAGAATCCATGAAATTGGGTGAATAAGAAATTTCTTTTCAATACGATTGGCCATGAATGAAAAAAAATTAGCAGGTCTTAAACATTTATATATATATTTTTACTTTCCATTCCATAATGGTTTCTTTTAGCAAAATTGATCATGGCGTTTTATCACAATTGTCTGATAAACATAATGAAATAAATATAATTGAAAAAAATAGTTTTTAAAAGAAATTAACATGTTAATTAACATAACTAAAAAAATGTGCATTAAAATTTTTAGTAACTATTCACATAGACTGTTGTCAGATTATGTAATGAACTGTGCACTAGTGTTCAAATTCTTCACACAAACTCTGAATTTTGTACATATGATTAACTTGAAACTACCGATATTAAAATTAAACAAAACCATTCATTATATTTGTTTAACAAATCTTTAGCCTTAAAGAAGTATAGGTAATTTAAAAAAAAAGTGGCTATCCCAGGGAATTATATTTTATTTTTTGTCTAAATGTATTGTGGTCATTCTACGCCAGAGTTGAGAATCTTGTCTACTATTATAGTACTAGATTGCACTTAAAAAAAAAAAAAAAGTATTACTTCAGTTAGATGATTTCATGTTATGGTCATTGGTTTTGGGATCTGTAAGAATGTGAACTACAGTGTAGAAGAATATTTTTTTTGTATAAGAATTGCAGAATTGAGTGTTTAAATATTGGAATGCTTATGAAAAAAATGTGAGAATAGATTCTGATGAAGAAGTTAAGTTTAACTATAAAAGCACTAACTTATCTTTAAACAAAAAAATAAAAAATTTCTTCTACAATGACTACAAGAAATTTACTAAATTTAACACATGTATATACTAAATGATAGCATATGTTCTTGTCCTGTCATTGGTTTTCATATCCATGAATCATACATGGTTTGTTTTTAATTTCACTTAGTATCAAATACATATTAAGAGCTTCTCTCTTAGCAATACGTTTATCACCACCTCCAAAAAGTGCAATAGAAATAAATGTTTAAAATTTACCTGAGTTAAAATAACTCACAAAATGATCTATATGTGTAGGAAGGTTTGTGGGTATGTGAATAGCCTAAGCCAAAAAACAAGAAGTAGTACAAAACTGGAACTCTAATATTAAGTAGCTTCATTATTTTTATACTTAAAGAGTGGGATACCGTGGTATTTTTTTTTTTTTTCTGAATCAACCTACTAGGAATGCTAATTTACATTAGTTATTTTACACATTTTCATATTTTTTTCAAAAACAGTTTTTAACAATTTTGACTAACTCATCATTATAATAGGTTTAATTATTATTGAAATAGTATGACAGGGCATGAATGCAACATTTTCAAAATTTATTCCTCTATGTTTAATTAAAAATAGATAGGCATAAAGTATGAAAGAATTTCATAATGAATCGAAGCCGAAATAATTTTCCAGGATAAAAATTTTATTTTTATATCATTAAAATAATTATCAAAAACAAGAATATTAAAATTGATGAATAATATACTGTCAGAAAGCTACTATGAAAAGATTTTAGGAAAAATGGAAATTGATGACAATCTTATGACTAATAATTATATATTGTTGTAAATAAGATAATGATCTCTTTGAATTATAACATTTATTTTCAGGTTAACATACCAAAAATAAATAGTGCATAGGATTGTTGTTGTTTTTTTTTCAATCTTCATAGGTTTATATTTATAGTTATATTCTAAAAGTATTACTTATAACATCAACGCCATTATTATTATCTAAGTTATATTCTTATAGTTAATTATTTATTTAAAATTAATTTTGACTAAGTAGGTTGCTATGGGATAGTTGGGTCATATGAGCACCGCACTACATTTTTTATTAAAATATATCACAAAATACATATATAAAAAAATCTGGTGTGTCCACTCACACGACTTTCCTACCTATTTCAGAAAAGTTTTTATACCTTTACATATGTTCATGAACAAACAAAAAAGAATTGAACTAAATTTATTTTCCTGAAAATTGATCAAACAAAAGATTTTAGTACGATTTATTTAATAAACTAAAGCAATGAAACCGACTAAAGGTAATATTGCTGATCAAAAACTTTTTGCCATAGCTTAGTAATGTCAAACAATAATTTCTGTTTACAGTAGAGGAAATGACTTTCACTTAGTCATCTTTATTCTCTTATTCACCCCTTTCTGACACCAGGAAATGAACTTGTAATCTTTCATTGGAAATTAAATAGCTGCAACTTCGCTAATAGTTGTCCAATATGAACGATTTTTATATGGCTTTGTAGGGAATTTCATTATCTTTCAAACGACTAGACAGGCATACCAATGACTAAAAATGTGTTTTTCGGACTCAGAGGGCCTTTATTAATTACCTTTCAAACGATAGACTAAACGGCGTTTTTTTCCCTCAGGGGGCTGTGAAACGTATAGATCCGTCGAAAACCGCATGTCGGAAATTTGACCCGATTGCAATACTTTCCTTACCTAGTATAGGTAGGAAAGTAATAAAATAAGTTAAAACATATGTGAAAAATAGAATAAGCTGTATCATCGCTAATACTGGTTCGATTCCGATGATTTTTTTTTTTTGTTTTGTTGATAATTTAATTACCTTTCACTGTATAATATATACTTAGGGAGTTAGGCCCCATAACATTTTTCTTTTCTTTATAACTTTTTTTTCTGAATTTTTTCGGGAATTTAGTCTATATACGAAAATTGAAAGGATGATGATTAGAACAACATAGAAAAGTTTCATCAAAATCGTTAGAGCCGTTTTTGTGCTACAGTCTATAGAAAAACATGTTTTTCATTTACTGCAAGCTATGGAGCAACGAATTTCTGTCACAGGCATCAGTACTCAAAACCATATAAAATATAAAAAGAAGCAACAAAATCGGTTCAGTGGTTCCCGAGAAAATCTTGGCACAGACAGACAGACCAATGGCTAAAAATGTGTTTTTCCAACTCAGGGGGCTGTGAAATGTATAGATCCGTCGAAAACCGCATGTTGGAAATTTGACCCGATTGCAATACTTTCCTTGTCTAGTATAGGTAGGAAAATAAAAAATTCCAGATGATTTTTAACTTAAAATAAAAAAATGTATCCAAAGAATCCACTTAATATGTATAACCAAATTCCAATTAAAACTTTAAAAACCTAATGGCAACACTAATTATTACCAAGTATTATGCACCACATCATGAAAATAAGTCAAGAAAAAAAAAAACATAATACTAATTTTATTTAATTACATAGTAGCTCAGGATCAAAAGAATCACCACTTTTGTACATCTGAAGATTGTTTGTTTCCATCCAATACTATTTATATACTGTACGGTATTTAATGTATATGTTAACACAAACAAATACATAAGACCATTGTACAATAAAATAAATAAAAAGACTGAGTCTATTTACAATTACAATAATGTAATGTTGAATCAAAACAACTCCACTTTTGGAAAAATAAAGATTATTTATTTAGATTCTGAGATATTCAAATTTCTTATTGAAAAAAAAAAAATGACTGTACCGTTCTTTGCTTATTCATAAGTTTCAATGTTCAAACTAAATGTTTATGCAATTAATATCGAACTAAAGCGTTATCTTGGTAATCTAACATTTAAGAGATCTTAAAAAAGGGTCAGCACACAAAGATGAAACATATAAGCATGCATTACGTATCTATTTACCATTGTTATAATCTAAAATGATTCTAAAAACATGCATTAAGAAGATTAAAAAAATATATATAATAATATGCATAGTATATGCCCATATTAGGAAAAAATAAAAACATAAAATAGATATGAAAAGCTAGAATATTTATTTATGCCATTTAAAATAATGTTTTGTACATTCAAAAACCTGTAAAACAATCCAAAGCAATATATGATGACATAAATTGTTATTGAAATAAATGAATAAGGTTTGTTATTATCTTTAGTAGTATAAAATTGTAAAAAAAAAAAATAATAAAAATTAGATCAGTCATTAAAAATAGTTTCTAAATTGTTGGAGCTCACATAAACCATAAAAATTGTAGTCTTAATTAGTAATCAGTTAATTATGGTTTTATTGTATATTTACAATGATTGCTGAGTAATGCAGTATCGGAAACATACTCCATTACTGATAATCTATAATTTAGTTCATATTGATTCTTTTTTTTAAATCACTACCATTCATTTTCTAAGTGAATAATAAAAATAACACAAACAAATTAAATAAAAATAATTTATTGTTTCAATCTCTGCAAAAGAGAAAATCATAATTGTCCAAAATTAACCATAGGACTATTGTTAAGAGTAAAATTTATTTCAGAGTACCATTACATTAGTTATATAAAATTTACTGTATTTTTTAAATTATACAGTTCCAAAAATCATAAACTAACCAGCAATTATCATTATTGCATAAGCATTAGGAATTTTAAATGTTATCAGTATTTCAGAAATCTCTTTCCAAAATGAACAATTACTGACAATACTTACTGTTTTAATTTAATCTTTTGAGTATTCAAAAATTTTTATTTTCTAAACTAATATCTATATTATAGTTACAAATTGTGTTATATAATTATACAAGTTGATAAGATATAAAAAAGATTAATTAATAAAAAAAATATATTCAGGAACTTTTTAACAAGCCTAGAGGGAATTATAGTGAAAAATTAAATTGCGGTGATTAACAAGGGAAAAAAATACTAAATAAATAAACCTAGCAGGCTAACTTTCACTAACAGTTTCTTGAGAATGTTAACAACCTTAATTAATAATGTTTATTTATAAAATATTTAAAAAAATTGTCTTATTAAAAATCAACCTAATATCACAGTTAGATGTATTTCATACAGTTCGTTTGCATATTGAATACAAATATTAGGGAAACATATATTTACACTAGCACACAGTCGGTGAAGGTCTGGAAAAAATATTTACGAACTTATTGTTTTTGTTGATGTAGTAAACAACCAGAACAGACAAGATCGATGTCCCAATACCACATGCTAAAGTAATTATCTCCTGCCTTCTTGAAGGTTTTAAGAACATTTCCAGACTTACATCATTCCACACTGATTCAGTCCAAGTAGAATAAAGTCTAGATGTCCAGTTATAATCTGGAATTAGGAACGCAGGGCTGACAGCTGGTGTGAATTTGAGGGTTGTATTTATGCATAAACCATTACTTTCTTCACCATTCAACCAGAAATAAGCAAATTGATTATTGTTTGAGCCAGCTGTACAGTTTTCTTTGCTCACATTGATGGGCTTAGAAGTAAGATATGCAAGCAACAATCCAGTTTGTGTGGTAATAGGATTAAGAGAGGGTTGCACTCCCACATATAAAGGCAGAGGTGCTTTTTTGGCAGCTGGTTCTTCTTTGCTAGTAATAATTTCTTTCATAAGTTTGCAAGCTTTGTTCTCCAAATAACAATGAAGTAGTTCATCAACCATAAGTGCTATATCTTCTTGGGGGATGTTATCAGGACTCTCAGAGCCAGATATTACAGTAAACAAAACCGAAGCAATAGTTGATGCCAATGAAGCAATGTTTTTCTGTAAAATATGTTGGTCTGTGATACTACCATTTGCATACTTGTAACCTAGAGATTCACTGGTGTCAAGAAGACCATTGTAGTATCTGTTTGTGTATTCTTTGTCGTAAGCAGATATTATTAAACCAGGAAGTGGCTCATGGGCTTTTTTAAACACTCTCAAGGAGGAAGGTGGAAGATCCTTACGAGAACTGAGACTCCAGTTCATTGAATACTTACGCCCAACACTAATAAAATCTTCCATTATTTTATCACTGTACAATTCCACAGAAGGGTGCATAAATATATTTGGACTGTCCCCAATTTGAGAAATTTCAAAGAAATATTTAATATTTTTTAATGTAATGTTAAATGACGTCATCGATGGAAACAGCCCTTTCTCCATATCATAAACAATTCTGCTGGAACCAATATGATCTTGTGCTTCACCATTAAGTAGCATAAAAACTATGCTCTTATCACTATCTTTTATCTTACTCTGAATAGAGCTATAAATATGAGCTGCAGCAAGAGTCGTAACAAAACTTGTTACTGATGTCATTGCTCCAGGTGCTAATCCATCAAACATAGAAGCTGTGTCTAATCTAGCTGCAATGATAACTACATCTCTGGTTGTATTTTCATTCCAAGTGTCCATGGGAAGAATAATGTTTTGATCGCCCATCGGATCACAATACTTGTAAATACTCACTCCAGCTTGGCTTATTCTCCTTAAACAAGTGGGTGAGTCAACTGCTGCTGACATGTGAGACTTGATTTGCAAAGAGCAAAGTGGTCTGGAGAAAGAAGATTTTTCAAAAGGTAAATTAAAATTATTGTAACACTGAGTAATTTTGGTTATTGTTAATATATCATCAGCCACAAAAATTGGGAATGGCCAGTCATAATATAAAAACTGGTTACCTTTAGGGTTCCATGCATTAGTAGAATTACAATTTTCCACTGAATTATCACATACATCATCAGGGGAGTATTCAACAGGTATATGAGGTTTTTGAACAATGACCACAACACCACTAACTTTGTCATTAGTTTTCAATCGGTTCATAACATCGCTAATGAACATATCCATGTATATGGTAACCACATAATAATAATCATGATGTGAATCCATAAAATGATCTAGGTCAGCCCGATTTCGAATTACATGGATGATACCTAAATTTCCACTTCGATAAGAGGAACACCCGAATTGATGAGTTCCATTTAATCTCCTAAAACAAGCAGCGTTGCTATCCAGTTTCACATACATTTTCTCATGCATATCGTGTCTTGAGCCATAAGCCACATTGAAAAAGCACAGCGCACAAGTTAAAAGGAATATTAACAAACGTACCATTATAAGAACAGATAAATTAAATTAAAATTGCATAGGTGTTAATCAAGACGTTTCCTAACGCTTATTTTATATTCCATTAGCAAAACACTGAAGTAATCGATACTAATGCCAAAGAGGACTCCACACATAGAGATACATCACTTTTGCTAGCAGGAAGTAGTTATAACTGGGTGGTGGCCATATCCCCACTCCTTTAATGCTTTGCGTCACGCAAGGCGTGTCTTATCTTGATAACATAGAATAGTATCCAAATATTATTATCTGGATATTAAAAATATAGAGTTGCACAATTGTTGGTATTTTAAAAATAACTTCAACTCAAAACATAGTTATACTGCTTTCTTCCATGAACATTATTGACATCAAGCCTTAATTAATTTATGGCCTATAATTGTTGCTTCTAACAGTATTAATAATTTTATTGAAATGAAACAAATTATGTAATTTTTTAAGAAACACCAGTTATATTAAAGTAACTGAGAACTAAGAAAGTTCCGACTTTGAACTAAAAAACTTTATGCTATATTTTAATTTTTTTTTTTTAGTGGTGCAATATTGTTCACCATTGATACAAATTTTTTTTCTTTACGCTGTTGAATGTAGCTTCTATTTTTGCAGTGAGTTAAGGAACAATGATTTTCTCATTCCCTTCGATATTCAATTCATAAATATTAAAAATGAACTTCGAAACTTCTGAATAAGTAAGATGCTCTCTGTATTATGTGTTGTGGTTAAACGAATTTTATAATGTTTTTAATGATATAATTATGTATTGTAAACTCAATGTAAGTTTTGCGAGATTTGAAATAGTATCTTCTTGTTAGCCTGTTCCTGAGGCACATTTTAGCTTATTCTTCATCAAGATAGATTACTGAAGATATGAAAAAAAGTATTAGAATTAGTAGTTCTAGGAAATGTCTGAAGGTACCAATGCAATCTAACCATTTAAAAAGGTTTAGTTATTATAATTCTGTTAGATACCACTTCTCTAGCCAGGCAGGTCTGAAAACATGAGTTCAAAATCACAGCTCATTTTTTTTTTTGCTAACCTCCCAGAAACTTTATTTACAAGCAATTTACAATATACAGTATAGGAGGAGTATATATATATTGGTAGAAACCTTTCTTTACCCAGAGGTATTTTAAGGATGGAAGGATAGGGACTACTGTGTCCATTTTAGGCACTTGTGGCATGAAGCCTTATACACAGGAGCTCAACCTTTGAGCAGTACCTTTATGATCGATGGTGTTGCCACCTGGTAACAGTTACTGAAACTGAATTGATGGACTAAGATTTTCTGGTTGAGCTCCATTACTCTCATATCTCCATTACAAACTTAAGATTGTGGACTTAGTTTTCAAACCTGTTTGGCTCACTCAGGAAGTGCTGCTGTCTGACAATGCTATGAATAAAGATGTAAAAATGATTGGATAGTGCTGATCTCTGTAGGCATTTACTACAACTATTATTTTTTTTTTTTTTTGTTATAATGGCGCTACGGTCCTGCAAGAACCCCCGCCTCCTCTACTAGCGTCAACCAATCTCCACGGTCTTAAGCTACTTCCCTCCAAATTCCAACGCCCAGCCGCCTCAGATCGTCCTCACCATTCCCCAGCCATCTGATCCGAGGGCGCCCTCTACTTCTTTTGCCATCCTGCTTCTCATACAGCATCTTCTTTGGCATTCTTTCCACATGACCTAACCCTCTGATTCCGGCTCTTTTTATACTACAATATCAGGTTCACCATAGTATTCCCACAGCTCCTCATTCTTTCTTTTTCTCCAAATTCCATTCTCAAAGATTCCGTCCCATATTCTTCTCAATACTTTCCTCTCCCAGGAGTTGAGCATGCCTTCTGGGTTTTTGGTTAAAGTCCAAGTCTCACACCCATACATAACCACTGGTGTTACTATGGTTTTGTATATGAGAATTTTGATTCTTTTAGAGCATGATCTGAATTTCAAGTCTCTTTGCAGTGAGAAATAGCATCTCTTTCCTGCTGCAATCCTAGCGTTTATTTCACTCTCTACTTTATTATTGCATGTGACCAGGCTCCCAAGGTACTTGAACTGGTCAACAGACCTAAACTTGTGATCCCTTAATGCTATTTCTGTACTCATTTTCTTTTCCATTTTTGAATTTTTTATATATACCATCTTATTTTCGTTAACTCTAAGGCCCAGTTTAGCTGCTGCTTCTTCGAATTCCTGGAAAGTTCCTGATAATGCTGCTTGGGTTTTAGAGATAATGGCAGCATCATCGGCATATGCCAGATGTTGAGACATACGATCGTAAATTGTTCCTCCTGGATTTGTTCGAATAGAACAAATAGCCGTTTCTAAGGCAAGGTTAAAAAGAAGGGGAGATAGATATAATGATATAATTATATATTGTAAACTCAATGTAAGTTTTGCAAGATTTGAAATAGTATCTTCTTGTCTCAATCCATTATCCACCTCAAATTGTCCAGACAGCGAATTTGCAAGTTTCACTCGACAGGTAGTCTTCATTTGGATCATGTTTGTAAGTCTGGCCAGTTTCTTGGGTATGCTTACATCTCATAGATTTCAAAAGTTCCTTTCTATCTACACTGTCGTATGCCTGTTTGAAGTCCACAAAGAGGATGTGCATGCCTATGTTAAATTTATAACATTTTTCCATTATCTGGCTCAGAGAGAATATCTAGTCAACTGTTGATCTTCCACACCTAAAGCCTCCCTGATATTCTCCTATGTTTTTTTCAGTAAAATCTGTCAGTCTTTTAAGTAGGAGTACTGTCAATATTTTATAGGTTGTACTTAATAGAGCAATACCTCTGTAATTTTCTAATTATAATTACTAGCACTGTTTATTCAAATAAAATCTCTTGTATATTTTAAATAAATACAAATACATTACCAATTCAATTAATTATGCGGTATTTTTTTTTGTTATCTTCTAGATTAAAGTTTATATTAATTTCTTATTTATCCCTTTATATTTTTAATTTAGTTTGTATCTATTTATTTTTGGGCAAAATATGTTTTTTTTTACCTGTTTCGGTGCAGCTATATACATAATATGCTGTCTGTAATTAATTACATCAACAAAATATCTAGTATCATAATAAGGAACAAATTTCTTTTAATGAAAAGTAAGACTATCCTATGTGGTGGTTTTTGGCTTTTTTTTTTCTTTTAAAAACTATAGTTTAAAAATCATCTGTAATTATTCACTTTCATGGAACCAACAATATTTTTATGTCGATTTGAAAAAAATGGCTAAATTAATAGGAGGGATTACAAATTATTTCTTACACTTATTGTTAAGGTTTGTCCATATAGTTACTGTACATGGCATTATTGTTATTATTATTTTCTTTAAGGTGTGGATTATTGTTATTATTATTTTCATACATGGATTATTGTTATCATTATTTTCATTATTACATTATTGTTATTATTATTTTCTTTAAGGTGTGGAAATAGCTTTGGGGTATCTGGGTGTCGAACTTCCATCAACTGACAGAGTTTATCATTGTTTGGAGCAAGATCAAGAAGACGGTAAAGTATGTCTTGAATGGATGCACCGAGCTAGATTATATCTTAGTTATAAAGAAGAGAAATCAAAAGGAAAGGAACAAGGTTTCAGATGCTACACTCTAACATGGGAAAGCCTTAGCACTGATACTAGATTAGTAGACTGCTTTGAAAATGGACAGTTCCATGGTCATTGGTACGTTTTAGTTCACTTTTTTTTATCCATGTTTTACAATTTTTCCCCATTATGTAAGTTATTATCCAAAGAATATAATATATTTTGCTAATGCATAAATTAATTGTGGGATAATCTTAATTATTGAATGCTAGTCTAAACATTGGAAGTTATTCGGGGGTCAATGTTCTGATCAACACATTCTGAATGTCGAAAGCAGCAGTTGTAGATCACTAGGAACAGGTTTCACTAAAACTTGATCAATATGGCCTTTGTTTTTTTATTGATCAATATGCTTTTTTTAAACGGATCTATCATATAATTGATTTTATTCTTTAGGTATGGAGGAGGAAGAACTCTTGGTATGGCGTGGCCTGTTGAGTTAGGAAAAGTTGAAATGGCCCCATTCGTTACTGGCTATATTGGAACACATAGATGGGGAAGTGTTCTAAAAAGATATTTTATCAACTCAAGAGGTGTTGCAATTTCTATCGACCCACAGACTCCTTTATATGTGTCAATAAATGCAGAAGAGAAAACTCGTTTATGCTTAGAAGTAAGAAATTTAATAGATTATAAGTTGTTTCTAATTGATTGAATCAGAACAGAATAGATTTTTTTTAGTTCAAAATTTTGAGAACTGCCAGCATAATTGATTAATTATTATTATCATTAAATATAGAAAAGCAATTTTTAAAAATTTAATTTAGTTATTCATCTACAATTTATGATTTTGATTTCTTTAATAACGTCAGGTTTTAACATTATTACACTATATTAAATTTATTTATTTTTATTTTTTTATCTTCTTAAAAAATACTCTATTAGCCCAGAGGATAGAGGAAGATCCTTTTACCTCGGAGATTTCCTGCTATTACATTATACAATTTTTATTTATGCTGATAGTAGTTGAAGTAAGAGAGAAAGAAATTCAGTTTTGTAAGCTCACTCACAATTTTATTGTTTTTCAAAATTTGGTCCAGTTTCGAAAGAATGAATCACTGTTATCAATAATGCTAGAAAAAAAATTATATCATCAGGGTTAGAATGACAATGGTCTTTCTAGAATGACAAGTCACTTCTACTTTATGTTCACAAATTGTTTTGTAAATGCACATTAGTGATATTGGTCGTTTGTTCTTAAATTGAGTCTGCCTCTGGTCTCATACAGTCTCGCATTCAAAAAATCCTTGGAGATCTCCTCTGCTAGCATTCTTGTAATTTGGTCAACACAAGTAGACTTATTCATCACATCTGTTTCTATCTTCTCCATATTGAGCCTATAAACCTCTACATTCACTATCCTGCCAATTTTTTATTGAATTTACAGAAAAGAATAAAGGATTTTTCCAGTGGCCCCAAATTTTGGAGAGTGGACTATTTTATCATTATTTAAATTGAGATTGCTTCAACAATTTAAAAAATTAGACCGTCAAAAAATGGACCCAGTAGCTATACAAGAGGATAAAAGGAAAAGAAAAAGACTTCAGGCCATAAAAATATTAATAAAAATAGAATCAATAACTATAATTAGCTTATTATTGCAATATTTTGAATAAAGCCTAGTCTTTTTTCAGCACTTATTAAATGTGCTTTTAATTTGTATATCATTAAAAAGATAATTATTCCTTTCTTTTTATTCTTCTTTCAGGCTCGTCATGATGATTTCGCCTATGTCACACATAAAGGCTTACCCAAATTAAACTATTCAGTTTGTACCTCGAGCAACATGAAACTATTACATTCGTTTCTTTCTGAAAAATCTCTTTGGGATGGAGCCAAGCAATCGGATTTGGAAGTTATTAATAAATTAGTCGAAGAACCAGTTTGGCAAATAGCACCTGCTGATACAAAATCTCTCACTGAAACAGCAATTCTTAATTACACTGAAGATGTTATCAGTCTTGGATTTCTTCGACAAGGTTTACTCTTTTACAATATTACATAATTAGTGTATTTATAAATCAGTGTAAAACCCTGCATAAAAATGATAATTTCACATTCATGGAGTTAGTAGTTTATTAAAAAAAATACAGTCGAATCTTCTGTATAATCCAGTTGATTTGAAGATCTATAGAATAAAATTTGATTTATAGGAATATTTCACATTTTCATCATTGTGCATTACTTACGTATTAAAAATTTTTTTAATTTAATATTTAGTTTTTATGATAGAAAATATGTGGAGTTTAAATACTTTAATGTAGAAAATGCTTAAGTATCATTATTTTTATATTTAATAGGGCATGTTCTTATCAACGAAAAATGGCAGAATCATGTAGGAGATTTGACGATGGACCCTAAAAGGTTTCCTACAATGAATGAAACAATTGACATAATACACAGACGAGGTTTTAAAATAGCCCTCACTGTCCAACCCTTTGTTGCAACAGAAAGTGCTAATTTTGCAGCTGCTGTACAACAAGGCCTGCTGGTATTATATAAACATTATTATATTTTACTTTTAATATACTAAAATATATTGTTACATTATTTTTGAAGCAATAACTAAAAATTAATATGATGCAGTGGTCATTGGAACATCTCTGGCTAGCAAAAATGGCAAGTTTATTAAGCTTGAGGAAGAAGCTTTGCAAGTGGGTCTCAGAGTCAATGAAGGGAAAACCAAAGTAATGGCAATAAGGAGAAAGAAACTGGTGCACCCCTAACGTACATGTTTCATCAGTGACTACACTGGAAATAAAGCATACTTTGCTCTGATTAATCTATTTGGAATCAGGTTGCTAAGCAGGACCAATAAGATTAAGTTGAACAAGATGCTTATTAGACCTGGAACAATGTACGGATGTGAGACATGGACATTTAACAAAGCCACTGCTGAAAAAATTTATGTTTGAAAGAAATATCCTCAGATGGATCTTTGGACCAGTGCAAGAGTCAGGAAGATGGAGAATAAGGACAAACAAAGAGATGTATCAGCTTTTCAGGAACTAACGGTATCCTTGTTTGTAAAAGTTAAGCATATTAAACAGTGGCAAAAAACAAAGCCGAAAAATCAGCAGGCATATTAAGCAGAAACGCCATATTGGGTAATGTACAAAGATGGATGACACAAAAGCAACCAAAAAACTAAATTTTTATGATCCATATGGGGTGCGCTTAAGAGGTAAATCCAAAACTGAATGGCAGGACCTCCGAAAGCTAGAGATAAGTATCAACATGGCAGAAGATAGGGTACTGTGGAAAAGGCTTATTGAGCAGGCTAAGAACAGCTATATGCTTTTGTTATGCCAAATTTCATAAGAACTAAGCATAAAAAAGATAAATAACAGTGTGGGCTCAAATAAACTAAGATTATACAACTCCACCGATTACGTAATGTATATACAGCTGAACTCCATGCAACAGGCTCAGCCCTCCACTTCTCCATGTCAGTAACCTCCAAAATCATTGCAATAATAACAGATTCATCAAGTTCTCTAAAGAGTATGAATAGAATGTATCCAAAGCACACACCTATCCAAAAAATCGAAACATACCTAAACAAGTTCGAAACATTAGGAAAAGTAGTATTTCTTTTCTGGGTGCCGATTCACATGGGAATGTGACTACGCTTGCAGATGTAGCGGCCAAGCAAGCGCTTATCCTACCAGGACGAGATGCTGCCATTCTAACGCCACAAGGTATAAGTCTTCCTCTCAAAAAAGAAATATTTTGTAGTTGGCAATCTATGTGGAGTGAGAGCCCGTCAAGCAAACTAAAAGATATTAAAAACATAGTAAAGCCGTGATCAACATCAAACTGTTCTATCCGCAGAGAAGAGGTTGTCTTAACCAGACTGAGAATAGGGCATACTAATCTGACCCACTCATATCTTATTAGTAAACAACCACCACCAAAATCCCAATACTGTAATAGTACACTTAAAGTTAGCCACATTTTTCAAAAATAATCTTTCTATATCTCAAATTTAACTAGTATCAAACTCACATCCCCGATTTCAAATATCCTTAAAAATGTCGAAGACACAGTACAGTTAGTGCTGAATTCTTTTAAGTTTAACAATTTGTTAAACAAAATTTATAAGTTAAAATCTAAATATAGTTCAGCAAAAAACAAAACTAAACGCAGGCATTGATGACCTCGATGTTTTATGCCTAAATAAACCCCAATAAACAAACAAAAGCTAAGATTATACAGAAAATAATTTCTGATAAAAATAGTATATATTTTTTCCCTATTAATGTTTAAAATATTTAATTAATCAATGAAAAGATGTTAGGGGTGATAAAAATCTGAAAAATATTGATAAGAATGGCATTGATTATAAAATAAGTAATAATTTGCAAATTCTTTCAATCTTGATTGGATTATATGACTAATACAGATGCAAAATGCTCCGCGGGTATGACTAGGAGGATGGGCGTTGCTTGACCAGGTTTTCTTTTTACCATCCAAATATTTTTAAATATAACATTATATATTTTATATTTTAATGATACAATATTTTTGTTATATAAATTATTAAGAAAAAGATTGGATTTCAGTGATGAATTTAATATTTGATTGATGCTCATGAAAATTTGTCCCTGTGGTCTTTACTTTCTCTCTTCACCCCTGTTGATCCAAGTAATAAAATATAAATTTTGAGTTATTTCCATTTTAAATATTTTTACTCGAAAAATTCTTTTAACATAAAATGCACAATTTTGTTTATCCCAGATTGCTTATTATTATTACTAGGTCTCACTTTAGAATTTCTTTTGAGAATTTCAAAACTTATTTTATACATGGCAACAATTGTTGGCACTAAGCTGATTTATGGATTAGTGTTTATTTCTGCACTTAGCTCAATTAAACAAAAACAACTCAACTTGGATCCCTAAAAGAATTGAGCTTTTTTCATAAATATCTTCTTGACTTTTTTTTTTTTAGTAAGCCCCTCCTCATCAACATTTAAGACCCTTAAAAACCTACTGTATTTAAACTTTTCATTCAGAAGAACTATTTGGTCTCATTGGGCACAGAGTATCTTGCAGTAAACATTTCTTTTCAGATTATTTAAATTAATAAACAGTACTGTCCACAGGTCACATGACCAGTGGTTTTACTATCCTGTTACATATTTTTTTTTATATGTATTTACATTGAAAATAAACTTCTTTGAAAGAATTAAGTGAAATTAAAAATAGAAAAGCATTCACAAGGTTGTTACTATCTGTTTTTCTGGTCAGAATCTCATTAAAAATTCTATTTTGCTATTTTATTAAAATCAGTTTAAAGTTTTAATAAATAGAATATGATTTTTAGATAAATGAAAGGGGAGGTGAATTTAGAAAAGTTCCTGCTCTTACGTCATATAAATCAGCCCCAAGTGCCGGAATGTTTGATATAACAAACAACAACACTTTTCCTTGGATTCATGAAAAACTGAGATTCTTGAATAAGTCATACCAGATTGATGCTTTTTATCTGGATATGGGTGAGTTAATCTTCAAAATAATATATCAATACTAATATTTTTTTTAATCTTGCTGAATATTGTTGGTTACAGTAAAGCCATTTACTAATGTTAATGGGAAAAAAAACAAAAACAGTTTTAGATATAAATTGTGAAGAATTTAATATATGCCAGAGATATCAATATCTATATAAATACAAGTTAGCTTCTGGAGATATTAAAACTTAATATATCAAAAAACACTTATTTTTGAAAATTCAAAATTTGTTTTATTAACTTTTTCAACATATGTTTTATACCAAAATATCTAAAGGAGACTTTTGAGTGGCTAAACTAAGCCAAGTTCTGTTTAAAAAAAAAATCATAAATTATTCACGATTTTTTTTTATCATTCATCTATTCTACAGATATTCTAATTTTTTAAATACTTCCCTGCTTAATAAGTTTTATGTCCGTATGAATTAAGTTGAGGTTCATTAGGCAAAAACTTGAGATTTACCTTAAGTTGTGTAAAAAAAAAAAAAATATGTGATTTTTTTTATCCTGTCACCTAAAGTACCCGCAAAAATTACAGCAATTAACTGTTGCAAAGCTTTTATTTCTTGCTTTTCCACGATCTGAGATGTATTATACTAAACATAATTGCATTTTTTATACTTAAAAAAATGTTTAAATAATGATTTTTCTAATATTTTTCATGTAAAGTGGTTATGAACTGTGTTTTCTTCCAGATCTCTGTCACAGGAATTGACCTGTATTTATAAGTGACAAACTTAATGTTCCTATTTCCTAAATTTATATTTAAAATAAAGAAACCTGCTTCAATATTTTCATGAAACAGTAAATATCAGGATCAGTCCTATAAAAATTCCTCTCTACTTACAGGACACCCTATATACACACACAGGCACACACACACACACACACCCACAATAAAATCCTGCTTAAAATTTCAGTACTAAGGTTCCTAAAACACATTATTTTAAATTAATTATTAATTTAACTATATAATTACATATTTTAAAACTTTTTTCTGAAAATGTTTTAGTTTTCACTGCTTCAAAATCAATGTTATAATTAAATATTGATGTTTACGTAATGACTAGAACATATAAAGAATCACTTATTAAAAAAGTTCTTTAGGCAAGCAAAGAAATAACACACACTTTATTGGTGAAATTATTTAATTGTAAGATATCAAGCTTTCTTTGATTTCATCTCAGTCCAGATATGAAAAATAATATTTTATTAATTTATTTGTTTATAGAAAAATATCTGTGGTTTCATGAAATGACATCTGATAGTGAAATATCAATGGAGAGAAATTTAACCCATTGTTGTGTAGTCTAGTGCATGCAATGAGAGTGGTTTCAGAAAGGCAAAATGATTTTCTTGAAATTCTTGATTGCCATTTCATGATTTCACAACAAACCTTTTTAAACCAAAAAAGCAGGTTCTCAACTTGATATTTTTTTGTGAAAATCGCTGATGATTATCCTTACATTAAGCTACATACATAAATATTGATATTTTCTCTATTCAGGTTTTAGATAAGTGATAATTAATTAGATTTAGATGCAATTTAAAATAAACTTTTTATTGTATTGTTCAGGAACGGCTTACGATATGCCTCAGTATTATCAGCTACAGCAGAACCTGACTAATCCAGACCATTACAAAACAATTTTCACCAATAAACTTCATGGGGTATGGCGTGTTATTGGCGTCTCTGGAGCTATAGCAAGACCTCCTGCTCCCATATTTGTCTCCTTGCCTACTTTACCTTCAACATGGGAATCTCTTCAGCTTATCATACCAACAATACTCACTTACGGTATTGTGGGATATCCTTTTTTAATGCCAGGTCCTGTTGGAGGTGATTATTTACCAGAAGAACCTGTGCAAACAAAAGGTAATAAGTGTTACTTATTAACTCTTTTCCATATGTAAAAATTACTAAATGTGAATATTCATAATTAGATAATAATTTTCTATTAATTTAGGCATATATAGTAATTATTTCCTGTCTTTAAAAATAAAGAAGCAACCTGCATTTGCAAACCGGATTTAATTTGAAATTTAATATTTATTTTAATATCAACATAAGATTTAAAAGGAGAGATAATATATGTTACCTGTTTTTGTAAAGGGTTCCTCTCTTTTATTGAACTATACTTTTTATTGAACCTAATTCGGTGGTTTATAAGTTTAAAAATAAAAGCATTCACTCTGACCAATTCTCTTTTACCAAACTCTGTTTTTAAAACTAAATAACAGTCCTAATTGTAATTTGCATTTATTGCACTGAGCAATCAAGTACAATATACTCCCCCTCCCCCTTCAAATAAATAGTTTTTAATATAATTATAAATCTCAATGATTGATGAAATACATCATTTATTCTCTTATGGTTTATAGTGTAATTAACCCTACCATATGCGGGGGCGGGGTGGCCGAATGGGCTAAAACGTGTGCACAGCACCGCGAGTTGTCAGGCAATCGGCAACAGAGATTTGAGATGATTTAAAAAGTACGAGTTCGCGTCCCGGTGCCGGAGGGGATTTAAAATTCCCCCCCTCCATATAGCCTAAATGGCGAGGTAGGGAAGAACTTAAAAAAAAAAAAAAAAACCATATGATAGGTAGTATATAATTTTTTTTTTTGAAATTTATTGTAATAAAATCCTTACTTAATCTCCTACCAACTTTTTCTGTATAGGAAAATAAAGAGTTAATTTCAGTAATTTTAAGGATGATATATAATTGTGGTCCTAAAACAATTTTTTTTTATTTTTTTTTAAGCTACCACTGTTACAATGGATGGACTGGGTATTGGAGACTTGAGGATAACAGATGAATCTAAACTTCCAGATAAGGAATTATACATGAGGTGGCTTCAGCTGGCTACATTTTTACCAGTGATCAGATATTCACATTTACCTAGTGAATACAAAACTGATGAGACTATTTTAGAACAAGCAAAAATATTAACAACTCTCAGAATAGAAACAGTAAGTTACCCACTAAATTTTTAACCAATCCAAACCGAATGTGAATCCTTATTCATATATATGTGCGTAATATCACGTACAAATAAACATTCTTTCACGTTTACTATTGTTCTTGACAAATCAATGCAGAAAATGTCCATATAAGCAAAAATATAATTTCTGTTCATTCATTCTGGATGCTCTTCAACTCCTATAAAATTATAAAATAGATAATAATTAGTGATGGAAAGTAGTGAGGGATAACACATGAGATAAACAAACGGAATATGTAATAATATTCATAACAATTCAGTGCTGGTAACATGGTTAGTAATATTTAATATTGCATTTCTTATAAGTTGATTATGTATATTATTTTATAGTTTGTATAACCTATTGCGTATTCCATTAGTTTATCTTATGCATCATCTATCACTATTTACCAATACTAACTATTATCTGTTTTTATATATTATATCTCTGAGTTATAATTGTTTCAGCTCTAATGATGACCCCATAAGCTTGGGTTGAAACGTGACTATTTATCACTTAATAAATTTTAAGGTTTTTTTCATTGCGGTCACTGGGGCTACATTGGACCACTCGAAAATTTTTTTTTATATATTCATAAAAATCAAATATAAACAAATGGGATAATACATGTAAATTGCTTTAGCAGTATAACTAAATATTTTACATAGTTTTAGTTCAAGAAAGAAGTCTTCCTTTGTTGAAACATCACACATTGATTTAGTAAAAAAAGATGGTATTAGCCACAAAATTTAAAAAAATTGTGAAGGATGAAATGAAAAAAAAAAGGAAAATTAACAAAAAATAAATAGAAGAAATTAACAATGATGTTTTTCCCAAAATTCAAATTACTGCTTGGAGTGTTTTGCTAACAAAATTGTAGATAAATAATGTAGAAATTATAAAATTTTAAATGTTTGAAATAATTTAAAAAATTGTTCATTTTCTGATTATAATCATCCATACTGTTATAATTATATAAAAAAAAAATAAAGTTATAAAATGCTTATTGATCAATAAAATAAATATATTATAAAAGATGATATATTCTGTTATTCAAATGACTGATATCTGAATTGTTTATATGTTTAAACTTTAACATTTTAAAACAATAAGCTCTTAAAATTAAGAATCAAATAAATGAAAGCCAATATAGTGATCAAAAGAGAATATAATATTACATAAAAATTGGAAAAAAAAATTGTTTTTTCTACGGAACAAGGGTATTAGGTTATTCATGAGGATCAATACAGTCCCTTACTAAAACAACAGAAACCTTGTCCCTTGGTCAAGAGAAAGTACAAGATGGGAAAATGGTGCGCGGTTCAAAGGATTGCATTGGCCCCCTAAGCAGAAATGCGTATGGTCCCTGAGGACCTTGTTATGGCTAAACATATTAAATTACTAACTTACTATAACTAAAGGAAAATAATAATACACACGCCTTTTACATAGAGCTGATCACTAATGCTGACTGGATACGAATAATCCATGTCCTGTGAAGCCAAATGTTTATTTCTTAATCACTTTCTCACAACACTTGGTAGCATACGTTTAAAAAAATAAAATCTGTATTTGGAACTGATCAGTTCTTGCACAAGCTTTTCGTCAATTTGGCTTAGGTACATCAGAATTGTTGCTCAGTGGATCTAATGTAAAGCTAGTGTGCTATAATTTCAAAATAATCCTTTGTTCATGTTATGTATTTAAAATAAAAATATATAACAGAATTACATATTTTTTTAATTCATAAATTAAAATTAATTTTTATTTGTTCAAGGTGAATCCTATATTGACTAAGTATACTAGAGAAGCATTAGATTCAGGCGTGCCTTTGATACGACCTCTCTGGATGTTGGATCCTTCTGATTCTGCTTGCCATGTAGTTGTTGATGAATTTTCAATTGGAGAAGAAATCATCGTCGCTCCAATCTTAAGCAACGGTACCTATGAGAGAGAAGTTTATTTGCCAGCTGGTGTTTGGAAGGACGGTATAGATGCAAGTTTAAGGAAAGGTTCAAGATGGTTACATTCGTATAAAGTTAATATAAATAAGATAGCATATTTTATCAAAATGCCTGATAATACAAGGTTTTAAAGAGTTGAAGAATAAATAATATTCATCCAAAAATATTTGAATAAACAGCTATAGTCAAAGATGATGTATATACAAAATGTTAGTTTGTGAAATGTGTTAATCTTTGAATACTTAGTTTTATGAACATATATTTATTGAAATGTGAGTAAAGTCTTTTTTGTTTATGTTTGTTCCTGATTTCTAAATAGCACATTCAAACTTTAGTATACTCATTATTTTCTGGGCTGTAAAGAATCTATCTACTAATGAAATCATTACGAATGTCTCTGAAAATTCATGGCCTTTTTTTTTTAATATGATTGTTTACATCTGTATGAGTCAAAAAGTTGAAATGGAAAATAATTTATGAGGGATGATTAATTCGTACTAAAATATTTAAAAAAAATTATAAAAAATAGGCACTATCAAATATAATAATAATTATTTTTGTAGTTGGTTATGTATGTTTAAATAAAATCTTAAAATAAATAAATAAATAAAAAAAAAATTAAATAATAAAAAAGGAAAAGATAGTGATAGTAATAAAATTAGTTTAATTGAAAAATAAATAAACATTTATAAAAAAAAAGCCTATGTTTAGAAAATATATAAATGAACTGATAGGTAAATAAAATGAAATAACTTACCCAACAAGATTAATTTAAATAAATTGACTTTTCATATGTCTTTATTTCACTCATAAATATAATTTTTAAACATAAAAGTAACATTTTTTTGGAAAAGTTTCTATTAAATATTTTGACTGCTGTGCATCTTTATGTGTGTTTGTAGTATATTAACTGAAATGGTGCAAGTGATTTTTGCTTTAAATTTGTTTATTTTTTCATTTTTTATTCTCACTTCAAAATTAAGATTACAGCAATGGTATTAATGTGATTACATACGATTTGTTACATGTTAATATTTATAACATCCATATTGTATTTATTTGATTTGTTATTTTAAACATGGTGGTTTATTAAATGAGTTTAGAATTATTATAGACTGATTTTTTTTTTTTTTAAGTTCTGATTGATTGGCCTTTTCCTAGTGTAAATTGATGCATTCTGATTCTGATAATAACATTATCCAACAATTTTAATTGAGGAAGAGACTTCTAAAATTTAAAAAAATATTACTATTTAATTTTAATTGTTTTTGTAAAGATCTGATACTAAAGTGGGAAAAAAACATTATAAAGAATGAAACTGAAAAGAAATTGTACAAATCCAAACCAACCAATTTTTTTATTTTTTAAAAACAGAATGCCTCAATGTTATTCTCAAACATCATGTACTATTTGTAATATTTTTCATGAAATGTGCTTTAGTGATGAGTAAGTCGTTAGTCCATGAAGCTACTGTGATATTAGATTGTTTTTGGTCATATTTTAGTTCAGTCATCTGTACAAATAAGTTTAGGTTATAATTAAATTAGTTTTGTAATAAGACTTGAAATAAAAATAGGATATATTTGTTATAATTTTATTCCAAAGCTTACATTTTTTTTAATAAGATTATTGATTATTTTTTTAATTAAATTTTTAAATGGAATTTCTTTAAATGGAAAAGTTCTTCCACCACTTTATTTATATGGAGAGGATTTGGTATAAATAACACTAAAGCAGCTGATGCAATTTTCTTATTTATTGTAAAAGTAATTATGCTATGATTAATACACTTAGGGGTAAGTTTGAAAAATGTTGGGTTATATTGGAAAGAAGTTTGTTGACTTCGTTTCATCAATTTAGCAATGATAAATACACCTCTGGAGCAATAGTCTGATTTCTAAGATATTGAGGTTGAATAAAAAAGCTTTAAATAACTACAATTATGTAGTTAAACTAAAACAATATGTAGCTAATAAAAGACATACCAAAGGTTTGCAGTAATAACTTACCCTCAATCTTTATGTATTACGTAGTAAAAACAGGATAAAAAATACTAGGTAGTTATTTTTTTATTTGTACACATTTTTGATCTTCCAACCAAAATACTTCTTTTAAATCTGGCTATTGTCGCAAAGTTGGGTGTACCATTGGAAAGCTGTTGAAATGATGTAACTTTATTTAAAAACACTAGGTGTGCTTGACATTCTACTGAATATTTCCGAAAATCAGACATTTTTATTTGTTTACTCTACTTTAAATCTTATAATTGTCTGCCTAAGTGATATCCTCCTACAATTTGGTAGCTATCTTGCAGAAAATTCATTGAAAGATCCAAAAATATTGACAAAAGTTAAAAAATGTTCAGTTATATTTGAGAAATTTGGATTTTATGATAAAAAAAAAAAAGATCTTCCTAGAATAGAAGAAATTATTATCTAAATATTTTTTCTATATGCATAATTTAGATCTTAAAGAGTGGTATCCTAATAAATTGTAACCAATTCAAACAATTGGTACCAAAATTCTTTGTAAAAATAATGGTTTTACAGTGATAAGTTTTTTCCCCATCTTCTCATACTTTGATTTGATTAAATTGAAAATTACTTAACAGAAATATATGAAGTAAGATTTAATAGTAAAGAAAAAGTCTTCATTATATTTATCTGAAATACTTTTCCATCATCTGCATCTTACTGTGAGTAATCCTAATAAATAGCATAGAATTAATTGAGATTTCAACTTTTATTTTTTTTACATTCTACAGTAACCCTAAAGGTAAGTGGAGTAGCTCAGTGAGTAGAACACTGTGTTCCTGTGCTTTTACTTCCTATGTTGAAACCACGCTGTGGCAGGTATTTATTTATTCTGTTTTATGATCTATGGATCGACCCTGTGGTTGGGAGACTCGACTGGTATACAAACAGTCATTAAAGAGTGGGTCTGCATAAATAATTAATTAAGAGAAAATCTGGGATTGAACATGATCTAGGTCAAATCACCTCTGTCCATACCCCTTGTCTAATAAACAGTACTTCCTCTCAAATTATTGAACCCAAAACCTTTCATGAGTTGTAGTGCAACATGTTTTTGTTTTTTTATAGTAATTCTAAAGGAGACTTACTTATCTATCAAAAATGTTAGAGACTCCATGCTGCAAATAGACATAATTATATGTACAGTAATAACTTTTGTATTTTTTTGACATGAAATGATGAAAGTATGAAGGGAAATGAACAATATAAAAGAAATCCCAAAACAAAAGTAATAAAAAAATAGAAAATCAAATAACTTATAAACAGAATAACATAAAATAAAATAAAAAATTAAGTAGCGAGAATTTTTTCAAGGAACCTTTGTGTTCCAGATATTATATTTATTATTATAGAGGTTATACAATACTTCAGAACTAAGCAATATTTTTATTTGCTAGAATAAACCTAATAATAAAAAGTTAGTAGCTGTATTTTGGGTTCATTTTTACTTTTTACTAACAACAATTATTTTTAAAAATGGGATTTAGTTCTATTAATTCGGCAAAGATTTTATTTTAACTTCATTCCATTATATCGAATTAATAGTTCAACTTATAGAGGGATTGGGGTAGCTCAGTAGTAGGGTACTGAGCTTCCGATGCTAAAGGTCTCAGGTTCGAACCCCGGCTCATGGCAGAAAATTGATTTATCTGTTTCATTGGCTGTGGGGCGACCCTGGGTCAGGAAACCCTCCTGGGGCATACCCAGCCCCTTTAAAGTGGTACCCTTAATCAAATAATTAATTAAGGGAGAAAAATCTGGTGGTTGAGCGTGATCTCGGTCAAATCACCTCCTTGCACAACGGTTGACCTAGAAACAGTGCTTTCCCTAAATAGCACTGAACCCAAGACCCTTCATGGGTTACAGTGGTACAGGTTTTTTTATAAAAAAAATAGTTCAACTTATTTTGGTTGAAATGACAACGAAGTAATGAAAAAAAATTGTAATATTTAAGAGACACAAGATTTGTGTTATTTCTATATTTTTGAGGCTAGCTTATTTATTAACAAAACCTAATAAAACAGATTTTAAATGAAATATTTTTACTCAGGGACTGATGATAGTAAAAACTGAAAGATTGAAGTTTTGAAGCTGGAAACACTACTCCAAACAAAAGTGTATACTGATGGACAAAATTAGCACACCATTTACATTTCTTCAGAAATATTCACTTTATTCAAATTTCAGGGCCCAACAGAATTATTTTTTGATAAAGTTAGTTATTTGAAGAGAAAATTTTATTTTACATTAATAAAATAAGATACACAGTTAGTAATAGAAAACCTATACTCGATATCATAAACATCAAAAATGCAAATTGAAAGGAAAATTCATACTTTTGTAGAAAAAATAAATGATATTTCCTCTTCTTGCAGGAATCACATACCTTAAATGTCTTTCCATTGATTAGAAAAGATTTTCAATAAAGTCCTCAGGAATGTAATCCCACTCCTCCAGGACAGTAATTTCCGGTAACTGAAGTGTGCTAATACACATTCCACGGTTTTGCCATGACTTACACCCCCCAATTTGTCAAAATAACGAGGTTATATAGGCTGAACGGACCAATATTTTTGTAGGCCACTTTTTTTATTGATTTTGTGATCAAATTATCTTACGATCCAAGTGGAAAGCAAATGGGTATTTATGAGTTTTTAGCACCTAATTAAATAGACAAAGTGCAGACCTACAGATTGAAAACGTCCCAATACCGAGAATTTTCGTAAATAAAATATTTGTCGGTTACGATGAGATAACACTATTTACGAAGTTTCAGGGGGGCTTGATAAAATTGATCTGTACCACGGACTATCAATTGAAATCAGTGATTTCAGATTTTATTTTAAACTTGTAGTATTTAATGGAAAATATTACATTAAAAAATGGAGTCCGTAGTACAGTCATTAATAGTAAATCTATATTTCAGCTTTGTGTTTTATAATTTGTGCATTTGAAATATCTTTGAGATAATCTCAGAGAGACCTTTAAATAATTTAAAAGGTGTTAAAATATTAAAAATCATTATTGTCATTGCAATACTTTTATAACAATGCACAAGAATTAGAAGAATTAAATTTAGTTGATTTATTAAAAAAGACCTTCAATACATTAAAAAAAGAAAAGACAACATCAAACTATGTTTTGTATTTAAAATTATTATTAAAATTTTATTTATAACTTATTGGAATGGCTGCACTGAGAGTTTGCCGCCACAAGCACCTACTTTACAGAAGGTTATAGACCTGGTTATAGAATTGAAAACCAGTTTTTGTTTTGAAGTGTTAAAAACTTATTTTATCAACGTTTTTATTTTAAATAGTACTTTTCTCATGTAGTGAAAATGGGACGCCTCGTAAGAAGTAGAACTAAGGTTCAAAAACCAGATGCTGAGAATATCCCACCTTCTGGTAATATTAAAAAACCGCGACGCGGCAAAGTTGCGAGTGAAAATCTTGGCAAGGTTGATAATAATATTGTCCATAAAGCTGTACCAGGTCCAAGTTCAGGAAATGCTGGTGCTGAGGACAAAAAACCAATTTATTCAGCTCAGAAAAAATCATTGACAAGAAGATCACTTAAAGGTATTGAAGAACGTTTACATATGTATGACTTTGAAGTAGATGAAAATGAGCCAGTTGTAAAAAAAACTAAACGTAAACCAAATCCTAAGGTTAAAAAACAAAGAACTTACAAAAAGAAATTCAAGTTTTTACCTGAGTCTTCAATTATTTTAGATGTTGGAAAAGAAAATGTACACCCAGTCAACAAAGCTGTCACCCCTTCCAAAAAAACTGCCACTCCTAAAAAATCTGTTAGTATTCCACTTGCAGAAATTTCTAATATTCCTGCTGATGATAATATAGATTTATCAATAGATGCAGCAGTACAATCCAAAAGATTAACATTATATTCTCCTCCTCCTTACAGATCTCCTAAGAGAGACTCCCTCAATGTACCAATAGTAAGAGCTTCTTGTAGTAAAGTATTGGAAAACATCACTTCTCGATCTTTAAATGTTAGCAATAAACATGACAAATCAGATTGTTCGACATATAGTGGAAGTTTCATGAACCAATTATTTATGGGTTCCTCAACTCCAATAAGAAGTCATTGGGCTGAAGATTCTGCTCCTTATGTCACTCCCAAACCTGCAACACAGTATGGAAATTTTCATTTAAGTAATAATTTTGGTTTGGAAGCTGATGAAGGAATAGAAGAACCTTTTGTATCCCCAATCAAATCTGCTCGGACTCCATCACACAGTTCTTTTAATAAAACCCCTGTTAAACAATCCCCAGTTAAAGTGCCATTTGAACAAGTTGTTAAAATTTTAAAATTTGGGGCGGATGCACCTGAAGATAGTGATCTGTCATTTGAAGGGCTGCCAGATAATTTTTATCATGATGGAGATACTCCTACCTATTCACCTCTTCCATCTACACCAGAACGCCCTGTAAAGGTAATTAAATTTTGCATAAATATCTAGTGTTTCTATTGTATATAAGTTTAATTCCAATCTGGATGGTAGTCATATTCTAATAATGAATTTGTATATTCTACTGTGTAATCTTCTGTAAACGTAAGTACTAAATATTTGTCTAGAGAATGGACAAAAATCTTAGCTGATTTAAGATCATTTTTGTATTGTGTTTGTTGTTGTGTGTATCTTTTTAAATGAAATAATAAATTTATCCAAATTAAAGTAAGTTTGAAACTGAAAATTTATTGATTCACTAAATCTAGAATGAATTAAGTGTTATTTATTTCATGAATTTTCTTTTATTCAAAGTCTTAAATACATCAATAAACATTACAATGGTTATTTTATCTGTTAATGGTTTTATTGATTTATCTTAGAATGTATGATGGTTGGCATAATATTGCGCAATTGACTAGGTTATAAAACAATAATATAAAAAAGAAAACTGAACTGCAACAACCCAAGAAGGGTCTTGGGTTCAATTCTTGGAAAGGTAGTTTTGTTTCTAAACCAGAAGTTTTATAAGAAGGTGCTTTGACCAGGATAAGGTTTGGGTATGTCTTAGAAGTTTCTCGTGACACCAGGGTTGATCCATGGCTAATAAAACAAAAGAAATAATTATAGTCCATAGCCAAAATTGAACATGTGCCTGATGCATATCAAGCAAAAAGTATCTATGTCCTCTTTGAGTTCAGTTGAAAACTCTTGGTTTCAATAGTGATAACAAGTTTTGGTAGCCAGAATGCTAGTGCTATTTTATATCTTATTAGAAAAATGGTCCACATAATAGTTTCATTTTGTTCCTGTTTGCTGCAACGTATTGCTCATCATTATGTTGTGTTATGTGTTATGTTTTTTGATCAATTCATTTTTATTATTTATTTAAAATTGTTAGTTTTTAAGTTCCAAATTTCTTTTTCTGTCAGCATTAGAGTGAACGCACCAGTTATGGACAGGGGGCCCAGTGATAGACAGGTTGGACTTTAAATCTAAATAATAAACTTCATTGTTGATTTAAAGGTTCCAATTTTTTTTTTATATTGAATAACAATGCCCTCTATTGACAACTGTATGAACAAAGTTTCAAAAAGAAAATTTCAAAATGCCTTTCATTGTTATTTCTATAGTGATCTTAAGATCAGTATGTTTCATACCTTCCAACTAACATTTTCGCTAAGAGTATGTTGAACATTTATCTTATCTTATCTTTATAATAGTTAAATAAAGATCATAGAATTTTTCTGAGGTATGTCTATTACTGGTATCGACCCCCTGTCCATTATTATAACAATTGAATTTAGGGGTGTCCCTCATTAGTGTAAAAAGGTGTTTTTTTTTTTTTTGTTAAATGGAAATTATATCTGTATAACTGAATTTTTTTTTTCAATTTTTAAATGTTAAATAGTAAAAGGAGACCCTAGAGATTTTAAATATTCACCAGATGAAGCTTATAACTTTAATAATTACGGTGGCATAAGCCAACAATTTCCTTAGCAATGTCCATCACTGGCGCTTACTCTACTAGTCATATTGGTTTATCTCAGAATATATGATATCATAATAAATCATAAATATGGTATAATAAACAGACCTTGTAGATCTTTTGCCGCCTTAACAAGCCTACTCTATTTCTGCCTATCTTGGGCTATATTTTTCCAGTTATCTATATGCAGCTCTATTGCGTTATTGTTGATTTGATCTATCCATCTGCCTTATGGCCTTCCACATTGCCTTTTGTCGTGTAGAGCTTTTGGGTGGATTGCTCCAAGATACATGCCTCCCCCTCCCCCACCTCCCGTCTTAACCTCCGTACCTTCATATCATGAGATATTGTTTGACCAGTTTCTGTTAGCAGCTCTTTATTGGTCTTTCTTCTCTATGAGTTAGTACTCTGATCTCAGATCGCTCAGATTCTTATACAGATTTTTCTCTCAAATCTTTCAATAAATTTTTCTAGGGTGCTGGTTTGTACCCAGGTCTCATCGCCATGTATTAAAACTTGCTATATCTTTATATAGCATTGTACACCCTCAATTTGAGATTTTTCAGGATTTCGGTACCTTTGATAGGAAGAAGAAAGCTCTGTCTGTGCTTGTTATAAGCTAGTCTAAGTTTCAAAATCATGTCTCTTTTTAACTAAACTGTTATTTTAATTAAATCATAAATATTTAATTATTTCAGCTTTGTATTTAAAAAAATATACATAATAATAATTATTTTTCCTTCAGCCTTTTTACAACATTTTTTTATGGCATGGAAGGATTGATTTTTGTTGGTAAAAATAAATTAAAGTATATTAATATGATAATCATAGAAATGTTGATTAATACTATTTTAAATATTTTACAGCATCAAAAGGAATGTTTAACCAGTACACGTAAAGTTAAACATGTGCAATTTCAAGAAGAGTCAGATGATAGTGGTTTAACACAATCTTCTGAAGATAAAAATACCCTCAGTGTATGTGTGAAAATTATTTTTATTCTTGATGTTTGTTATAAAAATCAACTTCATTAATGAAGTTTCTTTGTTTACAGAAATTTGATATAGTTTATAATAATAGAAAGAACTTAAAGAAATCAAAACAAGAAAAAGATAAAGACGTAGGTTATGAGACCGAAGATCAAATTCCTACCAAGAGACCAGTAAGTCATTTTTTAAAACCTTTTATTATAATGCTTCTTATTATTCTTTTTTCTTCATATGTTAATTCAGTCTCTCTGAACAACTATATCTAAAGCCTCTTCCACACTGGTAGACATGTTGCGCAATTTTTCTTTCTGAGAGACGTCTCAGTTTGTCTAAGTAGACATATCTATAGAACGATTCACGTCTACAGGCCTGTTGCGAGACCAAAAATCGCAGGCCTAAAGTCTCCCGATTGTGTCTCTAGATGATTTATAGACAAATCGCGCAACAATGTCTACTAGTGTGTACTTGACTTAATGTTCCTCTCCTTTTCTAATCTTATCAGATGGATTCCTCCCTCTCGATTGTTATACATTTTATAGTTATTTATCATACTGTTTTCGTTTTTTAGAGGAGGTAGGAGAGAGGTTGATTTATTGAAAGTTAATATTGCTTTATGAACTGAATTTATTTAAATACTAACTAAAATTCTGACATAAAGAAAAACCTTTTATTATTCTCATGTAACCTCAGTTGTAATTTAGTAATGTAATTATGAGGTATTAAATGAGTGCAAATTAAAGTATGTTCCAATGGTATTTTTGTATCCATTAAACAAATATTTTGATTATAAATCCTGTTTCTTTATATTTTATGTATGGTATTAGAATCAAAAGACTTATTTTAATAAATAAATGTGATTGTTTAAAGGCTCGAAGATCTTATGAACGACCTGTTTATTTAAGAACAAAGAAAAAAGTAACACCTTATGGAGCTATAGATACAGTTGAAGATGATGATCATGAAGAAACTATATCCAAGAAAACTACTAAGAAAAAAAATTGTGGCCATACAAAAAAAGAAGTAAGTGAAAATGACTTAATTTAAAATTAGTTTAATTGTTTTCTTTCATATCTTCTAATTAAATACATATTGTGATATTCAGACAGGTATATGAGGTTTACCTTTATCATAACTATGTCAGATAATACCATATTTTTCTAGTTTCATGTTAATATATTCCATTAGAGTGACTTTGGAGAACAACTAAAAAATAAAGGTTTGGACATGGGCTGGTAAAGCAATTTATCAAGAAGTTTTTAACATTATTGTCACTTCTGGACTCCATCTAGAGTGACTTGTGTTACTATTTGATATCACCAATCTGCGCTCATTAGCTTTTTTTTTTATGGGGAACGGGAGAGGGTTTGCCAACCCACTGAAATCAATTGGAGTCTAATTATTCTTCCATAACCTTCTTAATGAAATCTAAAAGAGCCAACCACTTGAAGAAGAAACTGTGTGGATATCGATACTAGGGTTATTCATGCAACCAGTGTGCTAATTATCTCTTAAATGTGTAAAGTCGAGAAACTTATTTATGAAATGTGTGTTAAATGTTGCTAGGACTCTCGATTATCCAGCCTAGAGTCCTATAAACTTCATAAATGCACTGTGAAGGTAATTGTTAAGTTTTGATGTGTTTGATTCTTCGTTCTTTGTTTGTGTAAAATATCTACAGAAATTGGGAATGTTGTCTTGATGAAAAGACAGAATGGTCTTTAATTTCATTCAATATAAAATTAAATTGGTATTTATCAAACCTCACCATCTGCCTGAATCTAACACCCATCTGGGGCAACCCTTGCTGAAACCAATGAAATTTCTTCACTGATCCAGGAAGAAAATTTATACTACACCTCATTGACTTAACAGCTAGGATTTCATTTATGTTTTCAGCAAGTTTTTATCATCTGAATCTTCATTCAAGCTTGCTAATAAAGCATTTTTAACCAAATAATCCAGCAACCTAGCCTTTTCACTAGGCTTTGGTATTTAAAAATAAATCAAAACGTTACTAGATCAATTAAGAACTCACAAACTTTGTTAACAGTACTGGCGTTTATTATAACTTATAATACTTTAGCACAGACAGGTTATTTACTATTTATTCAAAATTTAAGTTGACTGCTTAGCATGATAGCACATTAAGAATTTACAACAAGTGCATGGATACCTCTTCTGTTGAGCCCACGATGCTGTATCTTAGGACTGCTAGATCATAGAGCTTACCCACGTATGTGACACAGCTAATACGCCTATTTGACGGAGTGAGGGTATCGGAAGAGAGTCGTACCTAACCCATATATGTGATAGGTTTCAAAGTATCTATTGTTTTGAAGTTGCAATGCCTCATTAGTAATCTAGTGTTAAATGAGAGTTCTCTTTTCAGACCTAGTAATCACTTACATCTCTAAAAGATTTTGTTTATTTTCCTCCAGAAATAATAGACTGTTTGCACTGTATCAAAAGTCATCAGTGTAAGGCTATCCGTTTTGTAATCCCTAGATCACTATTCTGCAATTTTCAGAGATTTCAGTTATATATATATATATATATATATATATATATATATATATATATATATTTTTTTTTTTTTTTTTTTTTCCTCCTATGTTTTGGATTCCCCCAGCGGTCGCTATTACCGAATAAGCTGAAATTCAGTATATAGAGTTTGGTTCTCAGGTGGAACAATTCTATTAAAATTTGGAAAAATGTCAAAATTTCTACTTGTAAAGAACGTTTTACCCTGTTTTTAAAGTATTACACATCTCCACAGCTCCTCTTAACAAAGTTGGAAGGTTGAAATTTTGTATATACATATATGAAGTCGGTGTTGGACAGGTGCTTTTGAGGGGTCTCATCACCTGCTACCAGTTTGTTTCAAGATGGCAGCAGAAAAACCAGTTTCTCTACAGACTACAGCACTAAAACAGCTGTAACAGTATTAATAAAAACTTTCCTAAAGTATTCCCTATAAAACACTATAAATTTGTGTACATAACATACTTCCTTGAAAAAGGATCTGAAAAGTAGTTTTGATGAATTCAAAATTACATTTGCGAATAATTCAAAAAGGGTGCACTTTCCCACTTTTTGAGTTAGAACATATTTTGAAGATATTTAAATTTCCTAAACAATAAAAAAACTTTCATCGAAATCCGTCCAGTATTAACAAAGATCCGTCATACAGTTTCTTTAAGACAAAATAATAGTCAGCTTTGGAACATTAGCAAAGTATTTAGAACAACATATCTTTTTACCAAATCGTCCGATTTTAATGATTTTTTAGGTAGTTTAGTATATTTTCAAATGACTATATACAATATCAACAAAAAGTTAATACTTTTGTTGTTTTTCGGATAATCCAATGTGAACATCGTAATTACTTTTTCCAGCTTTTTTTGGGTAAAGTTTATTATTTATAGATATCAATTTAACGTTTTTCGGGGAGAAGATTTAAACCACCTTTCATTAAAATTAGATCATTGGTTTAGGCGCTGCATCGGTTTTTTAAAATTTATATCAAATATACCCATAGAGTTCTAATTATGGTATGACAATTTCTATAATTATATACGTAGTTTATTAAAATGATATACTATTAAAAAATATTTTTAAATGTCCTCATTTTTGTGTATAAATATTTTCCTATGTGGTAGTTAAAGTCGTTCGCTATACAAATTGAACTTATAACTATTTGAATAAATAATTGGATAATAATTTACAAAGCTTTTATTTCTCTGTTTAAGGACAATGCAACAATTTAATCCCTTTCTATTTTTTTTTTTAAATTAAAAACAAGTGGAAAATAGTACCTTAGTGACAGAGCTCTCCTGCTCATGCTATTTTTTTTTTCATTAATTGCTTTACATGCCCATATTCTAACACAATTTCTTGGCTGTTCTCCAAATCCAGATGCTAATATGCTTTTTCTATTTCGTTTTTTGGAGATGATTGGATTAGGTTTAGGCCATTCAAAATATAAATTTACCCTTTTTCTTACAAGATCATAAACTTTTTCATTAATTTTATTTCCTTATTCTATATGTTATTTTTAAAAGGTGTTTTTTTATGTTGGTATCGTCAATCTTCATTAAATCCAATGATTGACCACTCATTTTGAAGATATTCTTCTCCTTCACATGTGAAAAATAGTCTTATCCCCTTGAAATTTTTGGAAAAAAAAGTTATGAAGGAAAAGAAACTTTATTCGTGAATAACTCGAACAATATGCATTTTTTTTCTAGATTTTACTCATGATAATTAAAAAGATTACTAAATTACCTGCAAAAAAAAAAAAAAATCAGACAATTATTAACAAAGATACAATCCATTAGTTTTGGTATACTTAATGTCTTCCTCTTTAAAAATATTTCATTTAGGAGTAGAATAGTTTACTACACTTTTTTACCTGGCTGATGTATTAACTTTGTTATTTCTTAAAGGCGTTTGTTTGTTCTTACATTTTATATGTTTTATTAATTTAGAAAATCCCATGATCTGGGCATTATTTTGTCTTTATTACTATTATTATCTTTCCAGTGAGCATTTAAAAATAGGCCCTACCATAGCAATTTGGACAAATATTTTGGTCTATTATGTTAAATGGAATATTATAATTGACCAAGGAAAAAAATACTAATTCCTTCCTTACATAATACTTAGGATCTACTTATTTCCATACTACTTTGCTATTTCTTCACTGAACAAAATTGTCTGCTAATTATTCACACAGACCAACTAGTTTCATTTTTAATAATAATTAAATTAAGATTTAAATTTCAAAAATACAATATTTTTAACAAGAAAAAAAAATTACTTCAAAATTTTGTGAAGTTTGTTGTAATATCATTTTCAAACATTTTCCTTTTTATTGAACATCAATATTCAATATACCACTCAATGCCAGTATATGCTAAAAATAAAAATAAAATTAAGGTTTTTGCTACATCTAGTTTTTTAATTTTGTCACATTTCATTGGCAGTCATTTATTTTGGTAACAGCATTTCTTGGAATAAATTAATACATTTTAAAAAACATTCATTTTTATTTAAAATATAAATTAAGTAAAATCCCTTTTTGTTGAATAATATATTTCATAAAACCTTAGTAAATAATTTTTAAACATTATCATCTTACTTTTCTATTCTTTAATACTTTCTTTGGGAATGGAGTAGCTCAGGGTGCTGATTTCCAATGCCCAAGGTCCTGGGTTCGAATCCAGTTGATGGCAGATAAATTATTTATTCTGATTCATCGACCATGGAATGACTCTGAGGTCAGGAGACCTTCGTGGGGCCAAACTGATCCTCTATAAATTGGGTACCCTTAATTAATATTTAATTAAGTGGGGAAAACCTGACGGTTGAGCATGATCTCGGAGAAATCATCTTACACAACCTTTGATCAAGAAACAGTACTTCCTTAAAAAGTATTGAACCCGAGGCCCCTTTCATACCGAAGATGTAAGTGTCTAGCATCCCACTTGCCTCTTGAGAACCAGCCGGCTGGAGATTTCAGCGTGCCCGTTTGTTGTGCTTGTCTTGCCTACTCACCATCTCACTTCGCTCAGCCTCACCTCTGTCACTACACTTGTCCAGTTTCATTTCAGACTGATTAGACGTTGTGTTCCACATATGGTTTCATGAGATCCAACTTGTTAGAAGTCAAACTCTCCATTTTATAAAATACCTGAACCTTTACTGGATGGTTCAATAATTGCTGAGACACAATAGCTGGGCTATGCTTTCCAGCATTATCCCAATCGGATGATTGATTATTCATCTTTCAAACTCACATACTAAACTAAACAGAGATAATGGATATAAACAGAAGGTGCAAGTGGCACGTGCATTTTTGGTGTGAAGTCCTATCTATCATAAAGATGCAAGACGCACATATCTCCTGCATCCAAGATGAATGCATATTCGGTGTGAAAAACCCTTAAGATCCTTCATGGGTTGTAGTGGTACGGTTTTTTAAAAAAATACTTTCTTTGTTTTTTCAAAACTTCATTTAAGAAATGCACATATCCATTCTCTTATCGAGTTTAGATGTTCCTCTTATTCTGTCCAGGGGTCTATCATAGTGTTACGTTTTTAATGCGACCAGAAACTCACTAGCTTGTTTCTACTGTTTTATTATTAGTATAGATAGCTGACCAAGTTGATACGTTATTTGGGGACAAGGTTTCCGAGCAGGCTATGATGTGTGTAAAATTGTTGACAATTTGACAACTAAAAATATTAAAACAGGTTGACAACTAAATTCTTTACGAAGAACTCTGCTCTTGTCAAATTTGTTTTTCAACTGGACAAGTTGTTCTGCTGAAGGAACTGTATCTTCAGATATTGATAGTTTATCTTTAAATAAATTTTATAATTTTCTTTTTCAGGCATTGGAAATGGAAAAATGGGCCAAAGCATTCAATGAACAATGTATGCAGATAGAAAATTTTAATTTATGTGTTGAATAATTTAGATATTTATAAGAAATACCAGGGTGAAATGTAAGATATTGTAAATATTTACTTGATTAATTGTTTGGTGTTGTAATTATTGTAAATATTATATTTGTAACATTTTTTTTATATTATATATATATAATTATGAGATTTTATAACTTTTGCTTTATAAGTTAATAGATGAATTGCAAAATATATTTGAATAAAATGTTGGTTAAGTTAACAAATTAACTTCTGGAACAAATATAATTATAATTAGTAATAGGACATCACAATTTTTAATATTTTTATATTTATTTTTTAATTAATGAAGTTTAGGTAACTGGCTGTTCATAAAATATATATTCACACTTCTGTTTATGTAACAAGATTTGAATTAGTTTTATTAATAGAAGAAATCTTTAATCAAAGCATCCACGCTTCAAAAATTAAAATCTGTAACCTAAACGAATATTTGATTGAGTAGACCTAAGTAAAGCTTATTTTATTAATTTAAAATTGTTTTTCTATTATCTTTTAGCTATTTTTTTAATGTATGTAATTGTGTGATTGTTTTATTGAGTCAAATATTATTATTCTATTTTTATATTTTATGTTCACTTATTTTAAATTAATTTTAGTTGGCAGTCTATTGTTAAAAAAAATATTTATTAAAAGTTCTTAATATTTTTGTGTGATATTTTTTTACTAATTTCAAACTACTATCATTTTATTGAATTGGTGAGGGATGCTGCAATGGTATCTAGTAGTCCAAATTATTTACTGTTTCATTTAATTCACTTAAATCGTTAATAATTTTTTGATAGAGGAAAATGATCTTGATTTGATCACTAAAATATTTCTCTGGAAGTATTATGATTAAATTCAGTAGGTTAATTTTACATATCTCATTTATCAGCCTTCTGTCTATTTACAGGCTATTTGTTTATGTTAACCCGTTCAGTGAATGGCATATTCATTAATTTACTTTGAGAGGTTGAATTAAATACATTTCATTATTTAAATAGATAATATTTTTTATATTATGCTCTGTTATATACATTTTATTATTATGCTAAGCCATGGCACTGGATTCGATGTGTTAAAAATTTAAATTTGGTTATTGCTTATATATATTTCTTTGGTAACTGAATTGTTTTTCTGTATGACATAGCTATAAGCAGTGAATGATATTAAAAATATAGTTATTGTTAAAAACACTAACTTTTAAGTGTATTTGTAAGTAACTTTAAATGTATTTGATGACAACAGTAATTGAATTGAATTGTGATTATAAATTTTTTTTACTTTTGAATATTTAGTTCTTATTTAGAATGAAAATTCCTGATACTCTTAATTGTAAGAATCATAGTTCACCAAAAGAATGTCTGATTAGTGGAGTACTCATCCAACGTTTCACCAATTTTATTCCAATCCGCCTTTATAACTCATATATCCATGTATCTAGATTCATTAAATAGGAATTAGCAATGAAGGGATTAAGGCGTAAACTGGCAGATTAGTGTGTGGAAGGGGCAAAGTTAGATTGCTAATGGGTGATATTTCAGTAGCATTCCCTTAATGAATGTACAACAGTTTTTAGAGATTATCCAGTAATGTTATGGTATGCACAAAACTTCCTTTACTAATAAAGGAGAAATGATCCCATTTTTTATCCAGCTTTGTATCAATAAATATATATAATGTAAACAAGAGGGAGGGAAAGGTTCATTTTTGTAAACATAAACATTACTTAAGCTATAAAAAAACAAAGTTTGATGATTGTTATCATCATTCAAGTATTGAAAATAGTAGTCTCTCCTTAAACTTAATAATAAACCAAATTAATTCCACTGAACATTAACAATAATAGAAATCCTTATAAATGAAGGGAAAGCAATTAGTATTTTTTTTTTCATTTTAAAAGGATTGAAATTAGTTTTTAAAATATTTATCTATCACATTATATCCATAACACATAAGGGTAGTTGTGATAAATTAATTAATCTTTGAAATTGTGAGCACTCAAACCGCCATTTTCCTTTTATAATACTATGTACTTAGTCTCTAAGCACTAAGGTGTCTGGGTAGATATCTTTGCTACTCCCTTAACTTTCAATATATTGAGGGATCCTTTATGGAAAGAAAAAGAAAGAGTATCTCTGCAGGTAAAGCAAGTTGTTGGGAACATTGAAGAATCTATTGGCAGTAAAACTTTAAAACTATTTTCATGAAGAACAAAAGGAAAAGCTAAATTCTGCAGATGGGCAAAATACAAATTAAAGGGAATGAACATATTACCTTTAGTATACAAAAAATCCTTATGCGCTTAAGGAGAGAGAGAGAAATACTTTATTTAAAGCAGTGCTGCCCTACTACATAGGGTTGCTCGACACACAGCATACTCGGCAATCCTTTTTTTTTGGACATACAAATTCCTTTTCATATTACACAGCACAAACAATATAATAATACATACAACTACAATCATTCAATATATTATATATACATATTTCGGTGAAACCGACATAAGATAATTTCTAAAATTTATAGTGCTAAAAAAAAATATATATATATATAGTATTCGAATGCCAAAGTTTTAACACCAGAAAATTAGAACGCGCACACAACACGGACAAAAAGATATAATCACTTAAATAATATTAAAATTCAATAAATAAATAAATAATGATAATAAAAATAAATGAATAACACGAGTAAGCATAATTTTTTATTTTTTGGATAACTAATTGAAATTCAACAAATATAATGCATTACATATTTCTTTAACATATTAAATGACTGAACTTCAAAATATTCTTTTACTTTTAAAGTAATTAAAATAGTTTGATTTACACATTAAATTGTAATACACTCTTTTTTTCTATTTTTCAACTAATATAAATATCAAGCATATCCAGGAACAATAAGGTTGTAACCTATCCTAAGATTTAAATGGCCATTGTTTAAAAGAAGTATTACTTTAATCTTTGTTATGTTAATAATATTTTTTTATCAACATTAAAGTTGATAGGTATAAAAAGAAAAATCACAATTAAAAAAAAATAAAAATAATTGTAGTAAACAATGATAAAAACATATATTGTATCTTTCAGGTCAGTTTACCGCTCTTCTTCATTATCATTGTTAAAAATTATTTCCAGAAGTTGCCTAAAGGACACCATTTCTTCCTGTAACATAGATCACAACTTTTGAGATTAAAAGCATAGATAATAATCATGGAGAAGTGTGACAGACTTTAAAGAGATTATATTAAAAAACAATTGTTCAGGAATTCTTTCATTTATTTTTTTAAAATTATGATTTTCCTAGATTGCTTACAGAAAAGAAAGGAACATATCCAAATTAAGATTTAAAGAGTTTCATAGTATGGTTAAAAATTCCTTATTGCTCTTTTTTTTTCCACCTTACCAAGAACATTCTCCAGAATTTGCATTATGCTATCTAGCTTTATTCCATTGTGATATTTAAAATTACTAATAAACTTGTTTTGTAAGAAGAAAGTGTCTTGCTTCTTTTATCACAAGGCTCTTCACTGGTGTGTACACGCATAGTGTACTGGGTTTGTAAAGGTATAATATGAATGGGAACTCCTAAAAAATCACCTGAGAAGTGCAAGGAGAACATTTCTATCATACCAGTGGGGCATCATTTTTTATTTAATATTCCAAGTTATTTACAAAAAGCAAATTATATATAGTTCTGTATATAATCTCAAATTTTTGGATCTATTTCTCTATGGATAATCACTCATTTTTAGCCCTATTTTTGTGTGGGTATTCTCACATTTTTGGACATCTATCATCTAGGTGTCCAATTTGTTAACAACAGTAAGCCGAAAAATAATAGCTGAATGTATCTGCTGCTAGACTGACCTTGTGTAAATTTGATGTAAGTCATTTTGCTTTGTATACCGTCCTGTTCATTTCATCTATATATGTACATATTCTGTTTATATATAAGGGTAAATTAAAGGAATATATATATATTTTTTTTGTAGTGCAAGTCTCTTAGTTTCTCTTTTCCAATAAATACACTGACAGGCAAAAAATTCCACCCACTTGATTTTTTCATGTTTTCATCTAGAAATATTTCTGCTTTGGATTGGTCTATTGTTTTTAATGAAAAATAGGTAATATTTTTGTTTGTTTTCAATTAGGAATGTTAATATAGAGGACAATAACCCTTAATTCAATGAAATGCTTCTAGATTCCAATGTATACTTTCTATGGAATCAAAATGTTTATTCAGTATCATTAGTTCAGTGCCGTTTCTTGCAACACATTTCTTAGTCTCTGACTTTTAATTTTTTCAATATTAAGTTTAAAAATGCCTCTTAGTGCTGAGGATGTTACGCGTGGTGTGGCACTTATTGATGATGGACGTTCCATTAGATATACAACTAATGCCATCGGAGTTCCATATGAAACTTTACGAGACGCCGTCAGACCTTTTCAGGAAACTGGTTCTTACAATAGAAGGCCTGGTTCTGGATGGCCTAGGGTAACAGAACCACGGGATGACCGGTTTTTAACTTTGAGAATTTTATGAAACCGTCACCTTACCGTTGTTCAAGCGATTCATCAGCTCGAAGAAGTTCGAGGTGTGCAAGTTTCTGAACGTACCGCTCGGAGAAGATTAAATTAGTATGGATTAAGCTTTTCGTCCAGTAAGAGGACCAGAGTTGACCAGAACTCACAGAGCAACAGGGCTGGCTTTTGCTCAAGAACACAGCCATTGGACTATGGACGAATGGAGTGCAAGATTCGCTCTTCGATCTCCAGACGGGCGTGAAAGGGTGTGGAGAAGAAGAAACGAAAGATATGCAGCCTGTAATTTTTCCCAGAGCCAACCTTTCCAACGTGGTTCCTTAATGGGTAACAAGTGGGTGGAATTTTTTGCCTATCAGTGTATATTAATTTTTACTGTTAATCTGCACATACTGGACAAAGATATTACAACAATTTTTTTGTTTATTGAGACTACAACTATATAAGCAATAAAGTGTCCTAAAGACTTATGGCTTCAACTTCTAACTGCAGTGGTAGCATGCCAAGCATAACCTCCATGGCAGCTGTTGGATTGGAATTGTGCCTGTTGTCATTATACAGGCTAGTCACTACAACTTCTCTAGTAGAGTTCTGTTTGCTCCACTCTTTGCTTTGTGCCACCAAAGCAGAGCAGCATCAAGTACTACAGGTCTAATGGCCATGTTAGGTATAATTCCCCAATTGCTTCATACAGCTCTTTTAGCCAATACCATAGGTATTTGAGGACTCTGTTCCTCATGTTATTAACATGACTAGTCCATATCAATTTGTAATCCAGTATAACCCTTAGGTTTTTTTATTTCCTTCCTGAGGAAATCAAAGACTATACCCTGATGCTTTTCACCAATTAGTGATATTCACATACTCTTGTGTGTAGAAGCCAGTGACGTTGAAGGTTGAAAGCAGAAAAGCAGCTACTAGACAACACAGTAAGAGGAGGACAGCCACAATTAGGTCTAATCCACAGTTCTGTGTGTCTTAATTCTGATTTTAGAATCCTGCTCTCCAACCTTTCTGTTTCTTAGTGCATCTATAATGATTGCTTAACCTTAATACAGTCAATGAAATATGTTATGAGGTGACATTTATATCGAAGGGTAACTTTTATTAAGGGGAGGATGAAAGAAAGGGTGGTAAAATTAAGATAAATTCTAGTTACAGCCCAAGCATCAACTGTACTTGCAATGAAAGCTTGAATATTTTCTACATTTCTTTCGAGTAAATAAGTACTTTCATATAGAGAGAAGTGAAAGAAAAAATATAGATGATTTAAAATAACCCATTACCAAATATTTTTACAACCTATCTAATATGTTAAAATGAAGCATTTTTTTTCACTTTCAATTTCCTTCTAAGATTGTAAATTTTTATATTTTTTTTTATTAGGAGGATTTATTTAATTTTTATTTTGTCTCCTATTTCTCAAAACCAATAACAAGAGAAACAAATGAAGCCTAATGGGAAAATCAAATGAACTTCCCACATCAAGAAAAAATAAACCTGAAAGATATTAAATTACCCTATAAGCATCATCATGTCCATATTCATTAATTAGTTGTCTAAGAGTCATTTCAAATTGGTACTCTGGTCTCTTGCAAATATCTTGAGCTTCTTCATTATTTTGAACCAACCAGACAAGTGAAGAAGCAAAATGCTCATGAGGAGTCCCATGTGGTGACTTCAATAGTCTTATCAACTTTTCAACAAATCCCATTCTCACGAGATCATCTGTAAATCAGTAAAAAATCAATACTTATTCATATAAACAATAATTATTTAGAAAATTTTCAAAATATAAAATAGCTTGAGCTGCTATTTAAAAAAATTATTCTACATGTTTAATAGATTGGATCTAAATTTTTTAATAAATAGTGTAAGGTAATGTTTAGAATTATATTGACCTTTTTTAGTTATTTTATTAATATTTCATTACTGTATTTATAACACTAACCACTAAATCAACATTAAGAAAAAAATCAGAGGGATTTCAACAGAAATATTCATGAATTATAATAATACAGGAAAATCTTTATGGTCTGACCTTTGACTTAATCTGAGTTTGTGATGTCGAGAGATGAACATTTCAATCGAGCATAGAGAGGTGCACCAGGGAAGGACAAGGGAGGTTGTAATCTTATTAGAAAAGTTTGTCGATTCGAGATATAAAGTTGCAGCATTTGAAAGAAGTGGTTATAATTTTTTTATAATTAACATATATTTAATTAATCTCCTCCTTTTCTATTGAAAGAGCTTGAGCCAAGAATCTCTTTTAGAATTTACTTTCACCATTTCTGGCATACGGAGGGTTGTTTCGGTGATGCAATCCAACCTATTTTAACCAGAGTAAGGTCTATTAATTCCGTGGGTCCTTGACAAAAGAAATTTCAAACCGTCCAGGCTGGATTTGAACTAATGCCACTAAAATCAAGAATTTTAAAGTGGGTAATGCTTTAACACCCTCAGTCACCCTTTTTTCCCTGAACAATAAAAAAAAAAAAAAATAAAATAATAATAATAATAAAAACACTGTTTTTTTTTTAAACAAGGCACTTGTTTCTTGATATGTGGTTAGTGTGGTAGTTAAAAGTGTTTAATGAGGAACATGCTGGAATTTTTAAGGGAGGGAATTCCAGAAAGAAGCAGAGCGGGAAATGAAGGTGTTTTGAAAAGAGACAGCTCTCAGAAAAGGGATATAAAGTTCAGAAGGTCGTGATCATGTGGTAAGAGAATGGACAGAGGACTTGGATTGAATTGAAGATCACAGGCATAGGAGGGGCGACTGGTGTTGATAATCTTATAAAGGAATGTGTCTAAGAAATATTGTATACAGAAGGAAGGGAAGAGCCACCTTAACTCAACGCAGTACTGGGAGACACAGGAACATCTCAGGATCCTACTGACAAATCTATTTAGCCATCTAAATGAAGTAGGTAGCTTCATATTTAGCCATTTTTAAAGTTACTGTCAATAAAAGAGTTAATTTTTAAAAAAATAAACCATATTAAAGGTACTTTAGAGGAAGACGTATATGAAAATTGGGCATTTAAGCCCTGTAAAGTGACATCAACGGATCTGGGTATAAGACCTAAATGATACTTAAGACCACTTAATTAAATAAAGGTACACCGAATTTAGTCCAGTTAGCCGATTTTAAGGGAAAAATTGATGTCACATCTAAGGCATATACCCATCTTAAATACGTAATATCAGTTATGTACAACTTTTCATTTTTGAGCTAGACTGTTCACATACACACACACTCAGATCATTTTGTGGGACATGGTTATTTGGACTCAGGGTACCTCAAAACGTATATTTCTGTTGAAAACTCAGATTCGAAAATTTTCACGATTGCAATACTTTTCCTTACTATACATTACATATATAGTTAAGTGAAAGTAAAATTAGAATTGCTTTCTGATTCTGTCAAATGTTTTAATGAGATCAACAAAACAGGTGAAGACATCCTTATCTTTTTTTAATCCGTACAGATCTTCTTCCAGTACTGGTTATTCTGCATTCTTGAGGCATCTTTCTAAGATTTTTAGAGTACATTTTACTAGACACACTAAGAAGAATATTTCAATGAATTTGGAACTCGTATCTTGTCTCCTTGCTTAGATAGAGGTATTATAACCTATCTTTGTTCTTCCACATTAAGTTTAGCAGGTACTGGAGTTCACTCCATCTATGGTGTGATGCTATCTGTGTCCACTAATTTACCTTATAAAATCATACCAAGTAGTAAAACATACATTTATAGACATAGAATGGCTTTCAGTATTATCAATGTAGCTAGCTATACTTAATGATTTATACATAGTTGAAATTATAAATAAAAATTAACAAAACAATAAATAATACCTCTAAGTTCAACATTGTTTGCAAGCATAGTTGTGGTGAAAAATGCAGCTTTCACATTTAATCTTTCATTATTTGACTGCATTGATCGCAAAACAACAGAAAATCCATCTAGATTACTAAACTGCGTAAGAGCCTCACTGCTGTCTCGAACAATGCCTATGGATATATAAAATTGATACAATTAACTAACCACATATAATAATTAATATTTAAGAAGAAAATTTCACATTTCATGGTATTTACTGATTTTGATAATTAAAATTCCCGACTCATTTGTTTTTTATTCTTTGAAAATTCCTCGTTAGTATTATTTTTACAAACATTAAATCATAGATTAAAATTAAAACAATATTTTAATCAAAGAAATATAATAAGTTTTTTTTTAAGTTGAAAAAGTTACAAATTATTATAAAATTATTTACCATTTCCAAACAGATAATCCTAATTATAAACATTTTTTTGATTTCTCCGCTTATATATTTTCTCTGCGTGAAAGGAAAGAGATAAACTAATCAGCTGTCATTTTGAAATAAAATGGTGGATGGTAATGTTGAGAGCCAAGGATCATCCTGGATTGACCTGTGATTTTGGTAGACTTTTTTATTCAATTTAAGATTCCGTGTATCTTGAACATTTAAGATTTAAATGTTAAGGGAGGGCATTAAAAACGTGCTTTCTTGATGATTTTAGGTTAATAATAAAGGTTTAATATTTAAATAATAAACCAAAATTAATGTATCAGAATAACACTATCATTGCCTAAATAAAAAGGCTTGCACATACGGCTCATTTGTTGCAACTGTCCTCATATCACAGGAACAATGAAAATTTGTAATTTTAAGTGGTATTTTCAAGCTATAATATATATAAATCTAAGTCCTGCAGGTCAAAGACACCATGTTCATAATTAAATAAAATAATTTAGTAAATAAGAAACGAAATTTTAATAGCTCTAAGTAATGGAATATTGACACTCCTGAAGAAATACAAAAATGGACATGGTGTTCTTTACAGAACTAATATGAAAGTGTAAATTAATAACAGCATGAATAAAACTTACAAGAAACTGCATAAAATGCTTTTAATTTGCATTCATCATCAGAATCACTTTCCACCATATTCAAAAGACGAGGGAGAAAATTCATAGTAACAGCATGTCCCTGGCAAAATGGATTGTTCTGTGTACAAACAGCAACAACATCTGCCATACGCCATCTGACTCCCGGGTATACAGATTGCAAGCAGGTGTGCACAATGTCGAAGCCACCAAGTTTAAAGAAATCTGAAAACAAAATTACAATAAAAATCATGTTTCTAAACAAATTACATTTTTTTAATATAGCCCATTGAGCAAAAGTGTCAAAAAAAGTTTCGGTTTGCATATCAAAAACATCAAATAAGAAGGCAAAACAAAGTCACTAAGTGGATAGCCAAGGAAAATCTAAGCACATTACCACTTCTAATAGACTAAATGATAATTTATTATTTTGATATAATAAATCTAATTTTTTTTAAATTGAAATCACAATTCATTGATAACAAAGAAGATATTTAACAGTAATAATAAAATCAGTTATACTTATCAACCAGCTTCGAGTTACATTGCAAAAAGAAAAAATATTTAAAGTTTTTACTAATAATAAAGATCTCGTAAAGACAGATAAAATTATAGGACGTTATATTGAGAGAAAAACTTTTTCTAGTAAATTGATACTAGAAATACTTCTATTTATTATACTGCAAGTATTTATTGATATGGCTAAAAAAATAAATTATCTCATTAAAACTAAAGAAAAATAACAATAATTAAATTATAAAAATTAAATCAATAATTACAATACCAATGGCAGCATCAATATGGTCCACAAAATCTGCAACAGTATCCAAAGCAGCTTCATACTCAGATGATTCAAGAGTCGTTTCAGGATTTTCCATAGTTTTTAATTTATTAATCGCATCAGCTAATTCTTTGGCCATGTCAACTGTCATAGATTTCAGAACTTCCTCAAGAAATCTTCTTCTCTACAATATTCACAAATATATAAATTAGTAAATAATAATAATGCATTTAACGCCACTATAGTTAAATTAATCTACTAATTAAAGAACTAGAGAGAAATAAATAGATCATTTTTCATTTTCAGCTAGGTATATACATATATATAACTTCCTTAATATATATGTATTATTTATTTGATGTGAAACAGCCCTGAAGGACTACGCGACTATGAAACTGGTTTCTTTTTCAATTTCCTCTTTTCTGCCCATCTCTGCTTGCGGATATCGCTAAATTTTTTCTTCCTCTCCGTCGTCCACTTCCTTCTGGACGGAAGTCCTTATTGTCCACCACATGCACCGCACTTGTCAGGAATTTCTTGTATTATGTCCTATCTTCACACAATTCCCGTGTTATCTCAAGCTTCTGTATTTCCTGTTTTATTTGTACTGTATATCCATGGTTAAACTTGTATCCCATAACCCTACTGAAAATCTTCTTGTTTAACCTCTCCTCGGACATCCTTTGCATGTGTCCATAAAATCTAAGTCTTCTTACACTCATTTCTGTTTCCAAATCAGAGGTTTCACTGTAAATCTCCTTATTGGATTTCAGTCTGTATCCTTGGAGTGTTATTTTGGGTCCATGGATTCTTCTAAGAATCCTTCTTTCTATTTTCAGCAGCTTCTCCAAACTGGGAAAGAACATTGTCTCCATTCCGTACAGTATCACTGGCTTTACCAGTGTATTGTAGTGCCTGATTTTGGGTTTTTTGGAGAAGCATTTTTTATTATAAATGCTAATCGTTAAGTAGCATAATTTCTCCAAATTTTTAATCCTATACTCCATGCTTTCTTTCTCCGATAAATTTCTGCTGATTATTTCGCCCAGGTATTTAAAGCTTTAAACCACCTTGATTTTACCGAATTCTGTTTTTATTTCTGCCTTCCTAAAGTTGGGATTTGTGGTCATAAATTTAATCTTCTGGAAGGAGATTTTAAGTCCAGTTTTCTCAGCTATTTTTTTCAGCGAATTTATCTGTCTAATCAACTCTTCCTCCAAATCTGCAAATAGGGCCAGGTCATCCGCAAAGGCTAGACATTTTAACAGAATATTGCTCCTTTGATTTCCTACTTTAGCTCCTGATGTTTCTTTTTCCCATAAGGTCCTCATAACTTTGTTGAGAACAACGTTGAAGAGAATAGGTGACAGTCCGTCCACTTGTCTCACACCGGTTTTTATCGGAAATGGTTTGGTTATATTCCCTCTTAATTTTATTTTTGAATTGGTTTCTGTTAGAGTTTCTTTTATTAGGTTTATGGTCTTTTGAACGACGCCATATTCCCTCAGGATTTTCAGTAAGGTTTCTCTGTCTATGGAGTCATATGCTTTTTCAAAGTCCATGAAAGATATATAAAGGTTTTTCTGCGGTCTATTCAGATAATATTTCATGAGAAGTTTCAGACTAAGTTTCTGTTCTTGGCAGGATCTCCCCTGATATTCTCCTATTTTGTGGTCTATTTGGAGCTCTATCCTCTTTAGTAGGGCCTTAGAAAAAATTTTGTAGGCAACTAGCAGTAGAGAGATCCCCTGTAGTTGTAAGTCTACCTCGGTTTTCGCGCCTTTTTTGTGAAGAGGGTGGATTAGGGCGATTTTCCATTCTGTTGTGTATATATATATATATATATATATATATATATATATACTTTTTTTTTTGTTCTCTGCTGTAGTAACCCTACAGAAGAGACGTTATTTCTTAGAAATATTCCTACACCATGCAAAACGATATTATATGCATTACATTGTTATTTAAACATTTTTTTTAATATATGATTATATATAAAAGATATAGCTTATTACAAAATGTGATGACTGAAGACAATTAAAAGGAATGGCACTCAAATGTATTCCAAAGAGAAAATTAAATTATAGATGATTATAAAATTATAAGAATAAATAACAGTGTCAGATGAGTGAACAGTACCAAAATGTACTAAAAAGAGAAAATATAATAAATAAATAAATGAATGAAATATATACATATACTAATGGGTTGTAATAAAGTTGCCATACCCTTAAATCAATAGACAAAATTCAAAACCTAAATATACTTACTTAAGGTTCTGACAATAATAGATTTAATTTTTAATAAAGTCGAGCCGGTTAATTATTAATATTAACAATGTTACACATTTTTCTAACAGTTTCATATTCACTAATCTTAATTAAGTGAGTCTAAACAAAGAATATTGGCTTTTTATCTAATACATTAATGTTTCTTTGTTTGTTTGGTTATCCCCTAACTTGTCATTCCTGGCACATTGAGGTTGTTCTAGAGGTATCACCAAACCAAGAGTTAACAAAAGAGAGGTAAAAAAATCATCCTATGGGTCCACCACGGAATAAATTTCAACTTGCCTAGACCCAGTTTAAGCTGGCGTAGTTAGACAAAACAATATTAAAGCTCGCAATGCCTCAACTCACTCAGCCAACATCATCTAAACAAAATAGAGTAAAAATATAAGCTCAAAATAAAACTTCTGAAGGTTAGACACAAAACAAAACGTAATTAACTTGTGTTATAGCATTTTGTATTAGCCCTTATTTCAACTAAAAATCTAGGAAAACGCACTGGTTAATTTTTTTTTAAAATTCCATGCACTCAATATAACAATATGTTTATGATTTGGATTATAACATCATAAGTGCAATAGGAATAATTTATTAAATCATGTATATTTGCCTAATCTCTAACAGTTCTACATAAGCGATAGAAAAGTAACTGGCGATACTTTAGTAAAAAAAGACCTGAATGGGCTATAAGGAATGGTGATACCAGTGTCTTTTCTATCAATTATTGAATTTCAGAGCAGGATGGGAAATGGGCTACAAATTTCGAAAGTGAAATTTATGCCATTTTGCTGACTTCAAACAGGTAAGAACAGATTCAAGAAAAAAGAGGTATGATCAGAAAAAAATATGATTGACCACATCCTCCCTCTTCTCCCATTTTTGACAGATCCTCACACTAACCAAGAGGGGCTATAAATCAATAACATTTTTACATAAGGCAATATGATTTGACATCAGTATTACAATACAATGTACAATTGATCATGTAAGGGGAAATTATACATTAATAAATAATTAATCAAAGCATTCTAAAAGACATAGGAACAGTGGTTTTGATAAAATGAGTTGAGAGCCACATTCCTGGTGAATGCAAATCTTTAAAAAGCCATTGAGTAAAGCATTACAAAAAAAAAATTAATTTTTAGTGGTGTAGTTTGAAGGATTACCTCTGGATCCATTGGTCCAACATTATTATTAGAATTAGAATTTTCTCCAGTTTCAACAGCAAATCTCAAAAGGTCTTGCAGATTCCTAGGAGGTCTAGGATCAGCAACTGTTGGAACACTGACAAGAGCATTATTTCTACTACTACTTGGATCAGACATTATGTCAAATCAAATATTAGTAGTTTTAACAAATAATAAAACGTAAAAATAATTTCCCCGCGGCAACAGGAGGTCGAGAAACAGTAAACATAAAACCAAAGAGGTCACAACGAACGTAGTACCTGTCAACTTCTACGATACACTACTTAACTTGATATTTCGTAATGAAATGAGGCACTTATAAAATATATCTCATATGGGCGACAATTATTATTGGTATTATATCACTGTGATGATTCTGTTAAAATAATTAAAGCATAAAGACAAATTTCGTAATACAGAGTAAGAAAAAAAAGTTAAATTGAGTTTTTTTAAGTATCCTTTTCCATGCTCGTGTTAGTTTTTTACTCGGTACCGCTATGCAAGTCACTCCAATTTGACGAATGGGCCAAGATCTCATCATCACGCTATATAGTAAACCCACCCATCTCTACCATTCATAAATGAGATTCTTTCAACTTTTTAAAAGTGGCATCATAATATGAATTCATGTTTGGTATATCAATGAATGGGCTCCAAAATCTTTCTCCAGATTGCCCGGTTCTGAACATCGTGGGTTTCATTTTCATTTCTCGGCGACGCCGGTAAATGAATCGTGACACTCTCACTCGGATAAGTAAGCGACGACAGCTTAAAGGTGCTGCCAGGGATTGACAAAAAGAATCTTCAGAGGCCCACTTTCCGGAGTAGTTTCCCCCCACCAGTAATAAAATATTACTAAAATTTCCAATCGAGAAAGATGGAATATAATTTCTTCGTAGATAATTTTATTTTTTGGTTTAAAGGTGATATGACATTTGACTCTATTTCAGGCCGTCTGTTGCTAGAACAATGATGAAGAACTTTACCTATAGAATTTAACGCAAAAATAAATAAAATCTCTAAAACGCTTTTTATTTTTTAATGTAATTTTCAGCTAATAAGATAGATTTGTCCTGTTTTTCCTTTAAATATAACTAAAGAATTGGACATGTTTTATTATTCTACTTATCGTATCACTTTTGAAAACATTCTGTTCTCCAGTTGTGTTTTGCTATTGACTCTTACTCAGTTTACCATTCTGAATGTTTTAGAAGTTCCAGCCGGCTACCATGCCCTTAAATTGAACCCAAAAATTTGATGTGTTTGAGCTCTTAGTTTTGAAAATGCACCTGATTTCGACTACTTCCATTGAGGTTTATAATTGCTATGATATAAATTGTAGGCATTTACCTTTTCATTGAATGGGACCTCAAAAACTGACCTATTTAGTTCCAAATTTCAAAGTACCATGGTAATCTGAGATCTACCGAATAAGCACTATTGACTAAAGATATTAGTAACAATAGAGTCTTTAATAGAATAAAAGTGTTAATGACTGCTAAACTATACTGAGATATCAGCCAGCCTTAGACCCTCCACCTTTAGGCAGGGCCACAAAGGCCCATCAACCACAATCCCCCTCTCAACTTAACAGATAAGTTATCTTTCAGCAAAATAGATGGAAGTACATTAATAAAAAATGACATCAAAGATTGGTAAATGTCCAAATTCGCAATTTTCTAGTGAGATATAACGTTTTGTTTCTTGCTTTTTTTAAAAACTAATTAAACTATCCTATAAATGAATTTTTTTAACCAAAACTATGTCAATATTACCACAGCTTTAAATAATTTAATTATGTTCTTGAATACATACTGCACCAGATGCTTCGTTTCTTTTTTTGTTTACACCAAAAGTAGAATAATATACTTTTCTTCTTTGTTAAAAATAATTTCATATGATAAAACCTAATATGTCTTTGGTGTTAAAAGGTTAAACATTTTTCGATAAAATATATCAGCAATTATGATACATAAAAATTAAAAGTTATAAAAACTTCTCATTTGTGCACCATTTATTTACCTAATGTATTTAAAATCTACTTTCACAATTTTCCTCTCTTTTATTTAAATTTACAACTCTGATGTAAATAATTAAATATTTTAAGAGATTACTATATTTTTATTTAAAAATTATACAAATTTTAATAATGTATGTCAAGTATATAATCATCAGAACAATTAAGTAAAGTCAATGATGATTAGTTGGAGTGAAAGTTACATATTGTATTATTCCTCCACTCAGTGGATACTGTTTCAAATTTGGCAGTCTTCCTGTTTGTTTTATTTTCATATTTTAGGTATATTTATCTTAATTAATAGTGGGGATACTTTATCTGTGACTATAAATTTTTATTTCTTTTTGTCCACCCTTTCCTTGTCTTTTAGACTACAGAGATTTTTCCTGGTCAGAGGGAGAGGGCGGGAATTAACGCCAGAGTTAGAGGCTTCCCCCTCCTTCCCGATACCAAGAAGCGAACTAGTAATTATTTCTTCATCTTCTAAACTTCCGTTTATCATGTGGTTGGTTGTGGGACGCTTGTTTTGCATATATGTAAGTCCGCTGAGCCATCAGTTCCCCTATAAATTTTGATCTTTTGGAGTGAAGCCTTCAGTACCTCAAACATGATACTCTTACCATAAAACAACAAGACTGAAGAAACAAGTTTTGGGGAACTTAAAGTCTAAAAAGAAGCCGTTCCCATGTCTGCTCTATTAATTTTTGCTTACATCATTATCATTCTTATTTTGGTTTTACAGTAATGTTATCTTCTCCCTTCCAAAGTATAAAGTTCTTTAAATCAAGAAGATGAATAAATGAAATTATTGATTAGTCTCATATTATGTCAATCAGACATTGCAGTATAACAAGGTTATATAAAATTTATTTGGTTAAAATAAATTTGAGATTTTTGAGGATTTAAATACCTTTGAAAGGGAGAAGAAAGTTCATTTTGTACTAGTTATACGCTGGTCTATTTTTGACTGTTGGCCATTCATTGAGGTTATTGTGGAGTTTCAGATACTTCTCCTTGTTTTAGGATTCGACATTTAGGATCATTTGTAGGTAATAATTATTTAAAAAAATATTATAATTTTGATATTTTCATTATATATATAACTTCTTCTTTTACAGGAATGATAACCAGAAGATCCATTTTAAATGAGTATTGCTCACATCATCTTTCGCAATAAGGAAATAATTTTATTTTTTTATTGCGAAAGATGATTATTTTATAACACTTAAAAGTTAAAAATAATATATAAATATTAAACATAATTATAAAGATCTTATATTGAGTTCTTAATATCAAGATTATGATACAAGGGTCAAAATATTGTTATTAAAAAAGAGTTATTCATAAATCAGTTAGTGGAAAAATTTCATGGAATGGATTTTCAGGATTTGTCTACGACAAACTAACAAAACGAGAACTTATTCAGTGAATAAATATCAATCTATCAAAACATGCTCCAGCTTTTTCTTATTTCTGGTGAACATCTCAGAAATTCTTTCCACTTAATATCTTGGTGTTCAAGAAGAAAATATTAATTACTTCTCTGTTTGCAGGACCTAAAACATATCCAATTTATCTGTGATTATAGGTATTGTTCAAGTTAATAACATATTACAAAAAGACTTGTTGAATCACATCTATATTTAGATGTACTGTTCTTTAAAATAATTTTAATTAACAGTACTGTACCTTAATAGAATTTTCCTCATTGGTTCAATGGAAATTCATAGGATTCCCTACATGGAATTTCCGTAGAAAAAACATTTATTTTTTTGACACAGCAATGTTTATTAAAAAATGGTATTTAATTTCAGAAATAACCATCATACTCATAAAACAACAAGACCAAGATGATAACAATACAAATACTAAGTAACATCCTATTTATAATTACTTAACACTTTTTAAATAATTGAAACCCCACAAAATAAATAAAAAAAAAATCAATAGTTTTTATTGAAAAGTGACCCTTTGCAGAGGAACAAATAATCTATAAAAATATCAGGGCAGTACAAGTGTTAAGTCAAAATTTAGGGAGGTAGCTCAGTGGGTTAGCACTCACTTCCAGTGCTCAAGGTCCCAGGTTCGAATTCGGCTGATGACTAATGCTTTTTCATAAGCCATGGACCGACTCTGGAGTCAGGAGACCCTCTTGGGGCATTCCCAGCCTCTATAAAGTGGGTACTCTTAATTAAAAATAATTGATTAAGAGGGGAAAACCTGGAGGTTGAGTGTGATATTGTTCCTATCACCTCTCTGCACAACCCTTGGCCTTGTAACAGTACTTCCTCACATTGTACTGTACCCAAGACCCTTCATGGGTTGTAGTTCAAGTAGTTCAGTAATATTATAGTTGAAATTCAGTTTAAGTCAAAATCTATGTTTTATTTCAGATAAATGTTAGGATTTTGGTAATGGAGAATTACATCCACACGCTAGAGTTCATTGCCAATAGATAAAATATAGCTGAATTGTTGGAAATATTAGAAAATAAACTTCCTATACTTTTGGAAGATATTCCACTTGCTCAATGGAAAGGCAGTTGGTTTCAAACAAACAACTAACCTGCTAACAGAGGCTGAGGAGTTTTTCCTTTACACGCATTTCACCATTATCGAGGAAATTAAGGATTATAATTAAATTTAACTAATTCATGTCCATTTATAAATTTCATTAGTTTTTACATTTGTTACATCAACTTTATATATTATATTTTTTATAAATAAAAGGTGCATTTTAACATCTATGTATTTGAGGTATATATTTTATTACAATACAGCTAATGTTAACAAATAAAAGCTTCAATAATAATTTTCTCTTAATTTATCAAATTTTAGTAATTTACTGCAATTACTCCGCTTGAAAACACGGAATTTCACATAAACAATAGTTTTACAAACCTGAAGGTGATTATCAGCTTATTCTTATCAGACCTTAACTTGATAAAGATGGACTTAAAGCTTATTGGACAAGGACACTTGTTTTTTAGTTGAGAAATCTATAAAATAGAGTATGAAGCCGACAAAAAAATAATATGAACAACCTATGATTGTTCCGGCTAATCTTGACTGCATTCAGCCACTTGAAAGCCTCCTTCCAATCCAGTGCCAGCCTTAAACATTCAGCACCCCGGAGAATGACATCATTCCTCCTCCTAAAAAATTAAATTTATTTCTTAAGCTATTCCATATTATGTAATATTTGAATTTTATTTCATTCAATATTTCTCTATTACAGTTGCCTTTTTGATAGGCTAAAGTAAATTATTTTAATACGTTTTGTA